TGAATAAGACTAGAGCTAACATAAACTGTTTTGCTTTCTGAAAATTCCATGCCAGAGCTACATAGATTCATTTCAGGATATTTTCATGTGAAAATTGTGACCTCGACAGGGAGAAGTAGAGTTAATTTTCATGCTAAAATGGAATCCAGAGGTTTTCTGTCTTACTTTTATGAGGGAGCCTTTTAATGGATTTGAAAAAAAATACCAGTGGTGTAATTCAACCCACGCTGCCTATCATTGGTGTCCTGTGCTGCTGCCTACGCGTATGTAGTCATTTACACTTCTGTCAGGTGGAAAATGCTGTGCAGAAGGCCAGCTGCATGCTACAGCTGGAAAAAGAAAAACCCAATGCAAGGTGTAACTTGGTGTGAAAACAAACTGGATAATGCACAAATTTCAAGCACAGACATTTTTCCCCAGAGACTCTGCTTTCGTTTATTCCTAACCTTCACAAACTTTAAGTCCTCAGGGCTGAAAAAGGCAGTGTCCCAAGCTGGATTGCTTTTGCTCTTTTAAAAAAATTCTCGGCCAAACAAAATTTTTTGTGCAGCTTTTCTCCAAGGTTGAGTAAGTGCAGAAATGAAAGCAGGTGGAGACGTAGAAGTCAAAACTCATGTCTGAGAAAGAAATGCAGAGTATAATAGGGCAAAAGATGAGGTTTTGGGGGAAAATGATGACAATGGAGAGAGGTAGAGAAGAGTGAGGAGCTAGAGGGATATATGAATATTAGCACAGATTTTGGAGGCAAGTGCTGGAATGTGTTAGTCATGTAAGAAGAAATCAAAAAGAGAGAAGTAAAAATGTACAGGATGATGTTATGTACAGAATGTTTCCATCCTGAATCTGCAGTTCAGCGTTGTAGCTCTGGGTCTGACTGGCTTCAGCTGCCCATACATGGCTTGTGAAAGTCACTTTCAAATTGTGTATCTCAGTGCCTACAGACATCTTCATGGTGGAATTCTGTGCTGTGGCTCTAAGGAGACAAAATCAGCACAAGCTGAACGATTAATTTTGTTCCATAGGATATGAGGTTTGCGTGTGCGCATGTCTGTATGGTGCAATATTTAATGAGTCACATGCTGTTTCCCTTAGTTGCTTAGTTTTAGGACCATCTTCAGATGATTCAGAATGGTGTAGGAAAGCTAGTATAGGGTACTTTCCTCTTCATAGCAATTAATAGGTAGCTGTGTGAAAAGGCAGGAAACTCATAGAAGAGAGGCGATGGTCTCATGGTTAGAAAAATTGGCAGTTGTGAGAACAGGATTCTATCCCTGCCTTTACCGATAGGTTCCTATTAAAGATGGCCAATTTGCTTTGACCACAATTCTCCATTGGCCACCAAGTACTCAGTTTTGGATTTTCTACAGTTGGTCAGATTGGCAGACTGCTCTCCCAGCTGCAGTTTAAAGTCATTGATAGCGTGCTTTAGACATGTAAAACCCTGTACAAATACTAAGTAGTTAAGGAAAATCAGTACTCTCATTTCTTAGATTAGGAACCCAAAAACCACGGAAACTTTTGCCATTTTTGCCCATTATCTCTATGCCTATATTTATCCTGATAAAATGGGCACGATAGGAGGGAAAAAGACGTTTCCCCTACAGTCAGTTCCCCTTCTGAAGTCAATTAATAATTGTGAATCGCTTAGGTAACTTTGGTGAAAGCCCTAACACACTCCAGAGGAATTTATTAATTTTCCTTTTAGTATAGTGTTGAAGTGTCATACTAAATACTTAGTTATTCTTTTATTATAGTAAGTATGAGTCCTGCAGGAAAAAAAAAGTGATTACGAAATGAAAATCATGCTCCAGAGTATTCTCCTGATGGACACAAATAAAATGCCCAGTGAAACTTTCAGTTCTGGAAATATCAAAATTAAGTGCTTGATTTCACTGTATGGGGAGGGTGTTCATTTTGGTTTGGGGAAGAGAAGAAGGGGAGAAAAGATGAAGGCTTTTATTGGATAAAATATATTTAGAGAGTGAATTTCCTGTGGTCTAGGGTGATAAAAAATACTTGACAGGCAGATTCTGTGTATGTGGGGTTCCTGACCATGAATATCATGCCTAAATTTGTTCCCATTAAAATCAATAAAATATCTCAGATTGCTTGTAGAAACGTTGTGGTGTGTATTGCAACAAGTATTCAGTATCCACAGTTCAGAACTGCTCTGGGCCAATGGGATTGCAAAATATCTGTCAGCTTTGGCTGACAGCCTAAGGTTGCCACAGCAGTTTTTCTCTTTAATGAGTAAAATAGGTGGTGTTTATAGAAAAACAACTGTCTCATGGGAAGCTGTGCAAAAAGTTCCATTCAAAACCATTCTGTTTATATATAGTTTTGTTGTTTGTTTTCTTTTCTTTTTACTTACTACTGTGGACATTTGCATGAAAACAGGATATTTCTCCTTCAAATTGCAGTCATGGACAGAATAGCTACTATGCCAAAATAGAGCCAACCCACTTCAAAAAAGTAAACTATTTTGCTCACCAAATCTGTTTCTTCTGTGTATGTAAAGTTTTGAGCACTTATTTTCCTACCTAAATTTAGGGGCTGTTTTTTTGCTAGTTAGTTAGTTCGATAAAACCAACAAAACCATATGGATATAATAAAATAAGAATATGTTAGTGAAAAGATTAAATGAGTAAAAAAACCCTATGCATAAATAACATTTATGTTTTAGTATTTACAGTGACAGACAGCAGGGATAGAAGTATTTTAAGTGCACTGACCCGAAATGATGACAAATACTCAAGAGAGAGATAACTAGAAGAGCCGAGTCCTGTTTTGGCTGATGATGATCAATAGAATTAATAAAGGCAGGCTTCTCTTAAGAATGTCTGTGTTCTTTCTAATGGACAAATTTGACTTTTCCAGTCTCAGGTTGAATGTAATCTACCAATTCGAGAGATACACTTTTACTGACAAGTGGCATATTTTTTCTAGTTCAGCAATGTTTTATAGCGCCCTTAAGATTTACTTCAGGGGTCCGAGGCTGAATGAGTGTACAGTAACACCCATGTTTCTGTATGTATTTACATCACTTAATAGCTTAGTCGCTGGCTTCAGGTCCATCTGGGTGCACAGGGAAAGCTCTCAGCTGCCCGGATAGCTCTGTGTCATTTCTTTCTCTGGCAGGCGTGGGTAGGAGAGTGGGTGCGGCATGCTGCCAAATCCTCAGCCCCTCTAGCCCTCATCCTAAGGAAAGCAGGACCAGGAGTCACTGAGCCTTCCAGCTGGAGGTAGCTCCAGCCGGAGCCGTTTTTCTTATGGCTGCGCTGCCCTGCAGAGGCTCGTTCGCCCTGGACTAGGAGACTGCAGTGGCTTAGAGCCTGCTTTTCTTGTTCCTCCTCCTCTCAGTCTAGGGTGAGACTCTGAAAACTGATACCTATCTGTGCAAAGCCCACTGGATGAAGCTGTCACCTCTTTGTATAACTGCAGGATTTATAGTCACCCTACTAATAATTAATATTCCCTCTCTGGTTAATAAATGGAACAGCAGGGTTTCAGGGCAGGTGAGCATGGTCCTCTGACTGAAGTTTTGCAGAGAAGTTGAGAGTGGACAGGTTCCTTTTGTACTACACAGATCAAGTTCTCCAATATCGTGAGCACCACTTCTTCCCAAAGCTACCTACGAATTGTTCAATCTTTTTTTCTCATTTGAACAAATAAACATCCTGCTGATCTCTTCTAATGTAAACAGCCTGTATTTGGCTCTGAGATCCCAATTAATTAATAGTCTCTTTACCTCTCTGGGGCCATAGGAATTTGTGATTTGCGAATAAAAATTATAAAAACTCTGCAAAATACACCTCGCAGTTCTCCCCGCAGATATAAACTGCTTCTTTTTTTGCCATGCCGCTTCACAGAGTCAGGGTCCATTTGCTTAGGCCAAACACCATTTGAATATGACTGAACAGTATCAGGACCCAAGCAGTGGAAACAGCTCTTTGGAGAAGTTTCTTGCATTTATTCCTGTTTTATAGCTGCTCCATGTGTAGTTGACAACTTGACAACTTTTTTAGTTACTTTTAGCTCAGGCAACTAATAATGCGTGTTCGCGTTGTCCTGTTTTTTTCATATCTGTAGCACTTGATGCAGGATTGTGGCCTAATGAAATGTTTGCAAAGTAATTCAGCGTATATGTGCCAGTTAGTTTCTTCGGTTATCTGCAGGCAATATTCAGTTCCCACCTAGTTTTTTCAGTGCTGCTTTGGCAAACTGTTACAGATTTTAGCAGCAGGCAGTTCATGGTAATTATATCATATAATACACTAAGTAAATATATGATAAATGAGGAAACATAAACCAAACAAGAAACCGAGCCCTGGGGACTATCTGGGCCTGCAATTCTCGTCGATAAGCACAGCAGGTGAACAAAGGAGTATGAGGAATAGGATAAGAATTTCTTAGAGCCTGACTGTCACGAATATGTCAATGGAGCTGAGTCAGCATGGGAAGAGTGCAGTAATTTGCTGTTGATTCAAAAGCCAGTAGCTCACTGCTACCCTTCTGGGTGATGTGGAGAGCGTTTGCCGGAAATGCTGATGACTAACCTCCAAGAGCTCTGCAGAGCTGCTGCTTCTGCCGCTCTTCAACCCGTCTATTCTGCTGGAATAGCCATGGGTCAGCATCAGACCAGCAGCCAAAAATGTAAATGATACCAGTCATTTTTAGAAGTTGCAGTTTAAGAATTCATTTGCCTTTCTGAATTCAAAAACGTTGCTTTCACTTTGCATTTGTCAGGTCAATATACACAGCAAATACATATTGTGTGCACAAACTAATATTTAGAAACAAAAATTTTTTTGTAGGATTTCTTACATAAAATATTCTTCTGCTTTACTATTCCTCCAGCATTTTGCCCACTAGAAATCAGGTGTTTTTCTGCTTTTCTTCCTCCCATCTCTGTTTGTGTTTTTCTGTAGGTATTATGTTGATGATTCCTTTCCTGTTATCTCTCTTCCTGACCTCCAGCCTTTCTCTGTTTTTGTTGCCAGCTCATGGATGCTACGACTGTAGGATTGTGCTGACTGACCCCTCTGGAGTTTTCACTTCTCCATGCTTCCCCAGTGATTATCCCAACAGCCAATCATGCAAGTGGATCATCCGAGCACCTCATGGATTCATCATACAGCTAACATTTATCGATTTTGACATTGAAGAAGCTCCAGGCTGCATTTATGATTCACTGACATTAGACAATGGAGAAAGCCCAATGAACCTGTGTGGCATCACTGCCAAAGGATTATCCTATAACTCTACCGGAAATGAAATGATCGTGTTATTTAAAAGCGACTTTAGTATCCAAAAGAAAGGTTTTAATGCCAGCTATGTACGAAGTAAGTAAACCCAAAGCATTTAATCCCTCTTATAGATGTAGGTAAGATATGTCCCGTAAGGATTAGAATGACATTTACTGAAGGAATCAATTCCTTCATGAGAGGGGAAGGGGAAACAGGAGATGGGGATGCTACAGGGTAAAACTATCAAGTTGTTTGTCGTATGTTTTTTTTAACTGATTTATTTTTCTGTGGATGAAAATAAATTATTTTATTGTGGGAAAGAACGTGAAGCATGTTAGAAAAACTTTTCACATGGAAAGATTTTAAGCCTAGCAGTGCCTCTTCCTGAAGGCTTGTGCTGGTGGGTTTGGAACCAAAACACCTGTCCTTCAAGTCAGGGTACCTTCAGAGGGGCATAGAAACCTCTAGGAGAGCATAAGAGGTAACTTAGTCGAGCTAGAAACGAGGCCAGCCCAGACCTCTGGCCCAGAGAACCACCTGACAGCGGGGAGGAGTTTGTGCAGAAGGCAGAACTTTTGCAGGGGTTCTTCCAGCCCCTAGAATGAGCTGCCATGGATGAACTGGCATGGCAAAATGGCTACCTTTTTGTTCCAGTTCCTTGGCCTTTCTTGCTTTTCCTTAAATACGTAGCAATGCTTAGATTTTGAAAAGCCTAACAACTGCAAAAAAAGAACACTCATGCTTTTTCCTTTAGGAGAAAATAAGAGTACGAATAGCATGTGATTGATATTTGATTTGTTGTTTAAAGCATTAACTAGAAGTTCCTCTCACACGACAGTAAAGTGCATTAGGTTGATCACTTGCAGGCCCTGTATGCTACTCACCATTCGTTCCATTTCAGGGTTATAGTTTACAGTTGCATGCTCTCAGTAGGCTTGCTTTTTGTTGAAGTCACACACCTTAGACTGAATACTAGTACTAAGCATTTATATTAGTGTAGTGCACATATGTTTTGTTGGTTGGGTGGCTGTTGTAGAAATACAGAGCAGGGAGGTTTGCAGTTATGTCTTCAGCCACAAGCACGTCTTGCTAATGATTTTTTTTCACTTTATTATACATATAATATATTTTAAAATAATTAAAATAAGAACCCCCAGGAATCATAACACAAAAGTAGTCCTGATTATGCCAGCAAAATTTGTATGCAGTTCTGAAAAGAAAATGTTATGTCAGGAGGAGCTGAAAATACTTTTTCTGCTGAGGTCCTTTCATTCTGACATAAAGAAAGTAGTAATAATTCTAGGAGCACCTCTTCTCTTCTGAAAGTGGAAGCAAATTTTCTGAAAGGTTTCTCTATTTGAAAATAGCAGCTCTTGCTGTATTGTAAGAAGTTATAAAATCAAGTGGATCATAAAAAATTGTATGCAATCAGATCATGCATAATGATTTACTTCTTTATTCCTCTTTCGTATTTTAATGTTTAAGTATGACTGTAAGGGATAAGACGACTTACAATTGGAATTGAAAGATGCAATGTTGCCCTCAGATGTGTTCAACAAGGAAGAGAGGAAAGGTCCATAGACATAGTCAAAGAACCATTTGTCTATATATACCTATAGGTAATGTAGTTTTATGGAAGCAAAAGGATTACCTCCATGCCAAATTGAGTAGTACCTTATGTTCATGGATAGCACTATTACAGTTAAATAGTCTTGGAAGATATCCTTTCATTTTGAATAATAAAACTGCTCTCCAGTGTGAGTAAAAGTGTCAGTGACCTTCACCATCTAGACTAAGGCTACTGAATTTTGTTTCTTTACTCCAAATCTGTAACTCTCACCTGACATCTTGATTTTGACTGCGAATCCCAGGAGAGCTGGCTGCATGCATCTAGGGCAGATTATAACTGTATTCTGCTTATTGCCCACAGTTGTGCAATTACATTGGGTTCAGAAGATAGTTACAGACAAAAATCATGGAAACATTTAACCCGAGGGATGATGTACTGCTTTCCTTTCAAGTCATAAAAGCATGCAGACAACAGGACATCAATGCACGCACACATTGACATGACGATGTATCTGCAGGGCAGATGCCAGTGCTATGCTCTCCTGTCCTTGCAAAGAGTTCCCAAAGCCATTGGAGAGATTGCAAACCCCCTAGCTTCAGTTCCCCAATGGGGTTTCAAAGCTCCTTTGTCAAGCTGACACCATTGTTACTGCTACAAATATGATAGCTGGGCAAAATCATTAATTTCTCCCAAAGCAAGCGGAACAGTGTTATAGTCATATTTTCTTTCATTTTTCAGATATGCTCGATGCAAATACTAAAATTAAGTAGTTTGTTCAATTTTAGGTTTGACAAAGTAATGCAAAGTTGGGAAGTAAAGGGCTGTTCAAAGACACACAGCAATTTGCTATCTAGAAATAGCATTTTAAAAGACATTAATGGTGTGTCCTAATATACAATATGTACACAAGACAAAATATATGTGGGGAAAGACAAATATAAGAGATTGAGTTGTGGGAGGGAACTAGCCGAGAATAGAACAGCGTGTGTGTGACGGCTCGGTCTTACGTAAGAGCGTTTTCAAACGGAGTTTCACAAGGCACGTCCTGTTATTCATAACAAGTTGGCCACCCTCACAAATGCTGGCTTTCCAGGTTGTCACCTCCTGCAACACATCAGCAGCAGATGTATGGGCAATATCCTCAGCTGCATTGATTGAGTTAATGCAGCTTTGCTACTCTTGGGGGAATTATGTCAGTTTACACCAGCTGAAGAGCTGGCATGTTACATGATTTTCTGGTAGTAGTTAACTGCATAAGTAATAGCTCCACTGGTGAGTAGAAGTCGCTCAGTCACCAAATGGGGAGGAAGGAGAGCCAACAGACCTCGGTTAGTACAGAAGTCCTTGAGACAATGTCATGTAAAATTAGCACACAGTTGAGTAGTACTGTAGTAGCCCAGTTTAAAAGCACAATTTTGTGTGGTAGTAACAAAAACCTCTCAAACAGGTATTTGGTATGTAGGCACTTGCAGACCTCATTCATTGAAGCTGGTGCATTTCTTCAGCATCAGTGAAAGGGCAGATGAAAGCAGTAAAGGTAGGAATGGCAAAAGCCACCACTCAAGCACCGAACCATGCTGAAAAGCTCATCAATAGGCAGGAAAGACGTTTTCCCTGCAAGGGATTGTAAAATACAGTCTAGGGACTCCCAGCTTGTTTATGTGTAAAGGGGTGTATGAGATGTGAGCCAGTGAGCTGCAGTAAGCTAGGGGCTTTAAAAAGCAGCAGAGGCAGGGCTGGCGTCTCCACAGCACTCCTGTAAAACCAGATGTGGATCTCAGAGCAGTGAGCTGCCTGTTGCTGGTCACTCCAGTTGCGTCTGGGCTGCCAAGACTTTTGTACATTCTTCATGAGTAAATAGCAACGTGTCCAAAAAAAACCCCTGTTCGTTGTAATCCAGTTATCTTCCTAACAGAAACAATTTAACATCGTTCTGAAAATAGTCTAAACACTTGGGTAAATATTCCAAGAATATGTGTATATTCTTCCCCAGAGAGTAACCAGTTTCTCCAGTACTACCATCTGAAATTCATCAGTATCATGACTGGCTGTGCAACAATAAAGAGATCTGCACTAAATGTTGGTGGCAGGATTCTGTTTTCTCCATACAGACAAAATACTTGTCAATTTTGTCCTTTCAACTGTACTGGGAAGGTGCCAATGGTTAAATCTTTCAGATGAGTACAGCAATGTTAGTAGACTTGTTCAGTACCAAGGCAACATCCTCCCTGTTTATTTCTCTTCATTTACTGTTTAAATGTGACCAGGTGGTCCATAACTCTCCTGACCACCCTAACACAGGCTGGACAGTGCTCAAATTAATTAGTTTTCTTCTTTTTCAAGTCCTGAATATACTTCTTCTGGAACACTTTCCATGTTACATACAGAAGCTTACAGTATAATTAACCCATGAAAAAAAAGCCCCTGTTTTCAATGGAAAGTTGAACGCATTTTCTATCTATAAAATTGTTACAACATACTTTTGCCCTTGAGAAGAAAAAAAATCTATGAAGTAAATCCAGTAACTATAAAGGCCCAGTATTTTTTTCTCTTCCTTCCCATTCTCTAGTTGCTGGGTTGGTGGATAATGTGCAATACTTTATGTTGTTTTAGTATATAATATATTAGTCAGATTATGTCCCTGTGTATATCCAAATATGGTAGTTTGGAGCTCAGAGTCTTTCCAAGCAGCTGGCAAAGGGAAAGTGTAATCCCACAGTCTATGCAGAATCCTCATACCGCACAGATCTGTCTCTTTTCCTAAGTGTGGCGGGACAGTCACCCTTCCCTCTCATGCCTCACCCTCTCAGACTGAAAGGTTTTTATTTCATTCTGAGACGGGAATAGGTGTAGTAATTAACGTATGTGTTGTGGCATCTCTTAAAAATCCCAGAGGAGACTAGGGATTAATTTCTGTAGCAGTTATTCTTCAGGTCTAGTAAAAACCGATTTCAGTTCCAGCATGTACACTGTGAAAGTGTGTAAAAGAGGTAAAAGACTTTGGCTGGAGATGTAGTCTGCCACAGAACTGTGGAGGCAGAATTAAAACCAAGGGCTGCTACAGTCTGGTGTTATTGACCTTGATGCCTTTGCATGACTGATAACCTGAAGTTTCTTTCTGTGAAGAAATTTACTAGAAGAATTTTGCTGCCGTAAATACGCCAATAAAACTGAGCATATTGACACTTTGTTTGGAAAAATAATGCTCTCCAAAGTAAAGCAAACAGAATTGTCATTAATACACTCACGGAGAAAAAGCACATGTCGTGTGATACTGTTTTTCACATTTGTTGACTGCCATTTTGCCAGTGCAAATGAGAATACTCGATTAGAGACAGTCATTCTGCCTATGCCTAAATACCCTTACTGCAGTACATACTTGCAACAGGACTAGTCATATCTAGATGCTTGTGCAAAATCCAAAACTGCTGACCCAAATATTAGCAAATAGTGAACAGCTTGAATATAAATATTCATAAACACGTGATTGCAGTATTCAGCCAGAAGGCTGCTGGGGACAAAATGAAAAGATGCCTAATGCTTTGCAGAAACCCATTAGCTGAATTCAGGAAGAAAAGGCTTCAGTTTGCCAATGAATATAGTGGGGGCTTTCTTTTATTGCAGTGTTTAAAAGAAGCAAGGCCTGAACTTCATTGGTGTAATGCAGTCATGCATACAAGTAATTAAAATAATACATCTTAAAAACAAGTCATACTGTTCTTTTCAAATAGCTGGTTTATTCCATTGCCTAATGCATCCTTACTAGATGAACGAGTAGTAATTTCTATGAAGTGAGCTGAGGCAGAGCTGGAAGTTCTTAGGTAGCATGTCCTAATATTCCTCTTAATGCAACTCGAGGGGTTGTTAACTGTGTGTAGCACAGCATTCTGCGTGCCATTGAAAAGGAACTCTACATATTTTCAGCTGAGTGCTCTCCCAAGCTAAATTCCCCTTCATGTGTGCTATTGGTATATTACAGCAATAAATACCACCTGATGAATGTTTGATTTAATTAATGTTACTTTAACCTCTGCTGCCAGTCTGCATTTATTTCTATATGATGAATTTGTTTTCTTGTTAATTTATTTATCTGCTCTTGGTTCTAGTCGCTGTGTCTCTGAGGAATCAGAAAGTCATCATTCCCCAGGTTCCTGACATCGACATTGTGTCCGTGGCAGAGACTGTCTCAGTGCCAGAGCTCAGCCAGTTTACACTGTGCTTTGAAGCGACCAAGGGCAGCAGCGATGACAATGATGACTGGAAGGTTTTCTCCTACACTGATACATTGTCGACAGAATTCTTCAGCTTCGGGAAGACCACAAAAGGCCATTTTCTGTCCATTTCAGGCACGCAGTGTATCCTTGAGAATGCATTGCCCCGAAATTCAGAGTTTTTTACGGGAACCTTTCAACAGCTCTGTGTCATAGGGGACAGCTTCTCGGGCAGTATAGGTATATATGCCAAAAGCACCTATCATACAGTGTACTGTCCAGGTATCTTTGGCAAAGTTATCCCTGGAAATGGGAGGCTGGTGCTGGGCTCTAACAGCAACGAAGTGAGCTCTCTAAATGGAGACATTTACAACTTCCGCCTCTGGAATTTCACCATGAATGCGCAAACACTGGCCAACCTCAGCTGCGATGTGAAAGGAAACATTGTAGACTGGGAAAATGAATTCTGGAGTATTCCAACTTCAGCACTGAAAGCAGAAAACAATTTGAGTTGTGGTGAGTACGCCTTGCCAAATCTTTTTTGCTTATTTTCCCCCCACACTTCTGCATTGTGCTGAACATACCATATACCAGCATGGAAAAAAAGAGTGTTCCTGTGAAAGAAAAACTGCTAGGTCTCACCTTAGAGTTTAGCTCAACTCTTAACCATAGACGAGGCTTTGAAAGGGCATAAAGTGGATTCTCTAAAGGAAAATAACAAGTCCCCTAGGTGTATTGAGTTGCTGCTTGAAATGATCTGCAGATCAAAGGTTTTCCTAAACAATTTGTTTATTGGCCTTCTGCTCAGACTAAATGGGGATCACAGACAAGTACCTGCTAGCCTCAAGTAAGATTACAGTGGTCTCTGGAAAAAAGAATGTGTGTTAACTAACCACTTAGTAAATGTTTTTGTACCTTGCCCTTTGGCCCTTTGGTTAGCCAGAAGGAGCACTTGCTGGCCTTCTGCAGTGTGCAGAGCCAGCAAAAGCAGTGAGGAAACAATGCATATGAGACAGAAAAGTATGAGAAAAGATTAAATTAGAGGAGGCAGACAGGAAGGAAGAGTTTTAGATTGAAATTGTTGGATTTTATCTTCCTGATGACATATTATCGGTCCTTCTTTTAACTGGTAATTATTGAAGGTCTTTCCTCCGGTAGATTACTCCAGAAGATAAATTTCAATACGTTGTCCAACCTATTCTCATTTCATGGCTTAGGCACTTGATTCTCATAAATGTCCAGGGGTAATTTTTGTATATGTATATGTTATTACAGCTGGTTGACAATTTTCTACTGGAACATTTTCTTCCGGATTAAAAAAAAAAAAAATCAAAACTGAAAAATTTTTGTCACTTTGGACCAGTATTGTTAATTTTCTTTTTAAAAAAAAGAATGTTTTGGTTAGTGACAACTTTAGAAGTATTTTAATAACTATAGAACACGTATGGGAAAATCTTCAGTCATGGCCAGTAGTAACCTATATGCACACAATGATGCTTGTGAAAATCAACTCCTATCAAACTCTATGTCCACAGAGTTTGAGACGTCCTATTGTAGCAAATACACATTTGTTAAAAAACCCAAAAAAGTCAAAGTAATCAGTTACAAATATTGATTCTTTCTGAACCACATGCGGTCTCTTCATGTCTGAGGTTGTCCTTTCCAGTTTTGCCTTCTTGCTCCTCTGAATCCTTACTACTTATTAAACATAATTTTAACAGTGTCAATATAAGCGTCTCCTGATAGAGCATCTGTCAGCACTCTGAGAATCCTTAGCTTAAAACAGAAGCTGGCATTATTAAGGTGTGCAAGTTTCTGTATCTAATAGTTCCTGAGAGATTAAGGTGGCTAAAAAACCCATCTTGCTTGCATTGGTTTACTCAAACCAACATGTGAGGTACTCATTCCCAGCTAGAGTCTTTGGGACAGCTTTCAGCATGCCTCTGCTAAGAAAATCTAAGCGACACCTCTGTAAAAACACGAGCGACTAGGTGCCTTCACTTTTCTACCAGAACAAACAAAAGGTTGTTCTAAACACCGACAGTGACTGATGAAGGCATTCTGGATTAAAAAAGTTGTTGCTTTTCCATCGATATGAACTGATCTGACAAAAATAACTTCCCAGGAATTGTTACTGCGCTTACACCATTATACCGTGAAGACTACCAGAACATTTTTACTAAAGAACCTACCAAGATCTCTGTAAATGTTGGGGTCTTGTTTAATTTTGACTGGAGTATGGGTCTTGTCCTTCTTTCTGTTAAAGACTGTACAGTCCTGTGACACAAATGTAATGTGATAGCTGTGACCATAGAACCAATACACTTATTTTCATTCCACAGCTTTATTCCTTGGGATGTCACCGTTCAGCGGTTTCCTTACAGTAGAACATTATTTTAGAAAAAGTATTAGGATCCGTATGTTAGGCCCAAGTGTCTGTATAAGGCACTTCAAATATATCTATAGATAAACATTATTTCCTCTACATAAGCCTATGAGAAAACTCACTCACTTAGTCATCTTCTTTTGAAGATGTTAAATCACCCCCTATGATAAAGGTTTTCCTGAACCAGAGTATTTCCTAAAAGAAAATACTGAGTGCAGTGCCATTTCAAAAATGGTTACTAATCCCAGAAATTGAATTGTTAGAATTTTCTTCCCTTCATCTTCTTGAAGCAAAGCTTTCATTGTAAAACCAGACTGCAGCAGGAGAGTTGATGAGTCAGGCTATCAACCATGAATAAACCACTGGCAGTGGGGAGATGACTCTAAATGATTAGGCTTCATTTAGCAGCAATGGAAGGATTTATGCAGAAAAGAGGTTTTCGCACAGCTCCAATAATGCTTCCCCAGGAAGAGTCATGTAACTTAAAAAAAATAAACCAAGGTTTTAGCAGTGATCTCAACATATCTGTGCCTGAACAGTACTTACATTTTTCGAGGGGTATTATGTTCATGGTTTTTCAGACACAGCTTTTACAAGTAGATTAACGGAGCATAAAAACCCTGACAAGTTGTTCCAGATAATCTTTTCGTAGTTTTACCTTCTCCTAGTTTATTCCTTAAACTAACGTTTTCACAGCTGTGTGGTTGTGGTGGGGTGTTTCTGGAAGACTTGATGGAATTCTGTTTTTATTGCGGTACCTTCGCACGGCTTGCATTTAAAGGTATATGTACACAGCATGGGTATCCGGACTCGTTTTGAAACAAACAGCCTAGGTAAAGACAGCAAAGCGTGGCCAGCAGGTCGAGAGAGGTGATTTTGCCCCTGTACTCTGCTCTGGTGAGACCTCACCTGGAGTACTGCGTTCAGCTCTGGAGCCCTCAGCACAAGAAGGACATGGAACTGTTGGAGCGGGTCCAAAGGAGGGCTACAAAAATGATCCGAGGGCTGGAGCACCTCTCCTGTGAGGACAGGCTGAGAGAGTTGGGCTTGTTCAGCCTGGAGAAGAGAAGGCTGCGGGGAGACCTGATTGCAGCCTTTCAGTACTTAAAGGGAGCCTATAGGAAAGATGGGGACAATCTTTTTAGTAGAGACAGCAGTGACAGGACGAGGGGTAATGGTTTTAAACTAAAACAGGGTAGGTTTAGGCTGGATATAAGGAAGAAATTCTTTACAATGAGGGTTGTGAAACACTGGAACGGGTTGCCCAGAGAGGTAGTGGAGGCCCCATCCCTGGAAACATTCAAGACCAGGTTGGACAGGGCTTTGAGCAACCTGATCTAGTTAGTGGTGTCCCTGCTCACTGCGGGGGAGTTGGACTAGATGACCTCTAGGGGTCCCTTCCGACCCAAAACATTCTATGATTCTATGATCTGTTTGCATCCAAATCATTATATTTTCTTTAGTGGGCACGGAGGGAAAGTCTAGTCTGACCAGAATTCAACTCAATTAAAACTTAAAAAAACCTTATTGAATATATTCCTCTTTAAAGTCTACAGTCTTCTGTCTTAAGTATTTTGTAAAGTTCGAATGGATTTTTTTTTTGTTTCGCCAAACAAAATCATGATTTTTTTTTTAAATACTCACTGAAGAAAATATGAAGGTCCACTGATTTTCCAAGCAAACTTTCAGGTGATCTTTCCATGATACAGAGCTAAGAGGAGATAACCTACAGCAGGTATTGGCCTTGACTGTTTAATATTAGTGGATGGGGGGGGGGGGGGGGCAGTCTCACACGGGAAGTAGCGCTTTCACTTACAGCGTCCTTCCTGGCGTTCATAGAAGTGTACTAAGGAAGTGAATTCTCCTGTATCTCTTATTTTAAAAAAATTAAAAATGCTGAGCTTTAATATTTGTTGAGGATCATAGGTTTTAAATTCTGCCCTGTTTTTATCGGCAATACATGTAATGGTATCTGTGACTTGACATGATTTCTGTGTCAAGGCCCTGTGCTCCGTCTGTTCTTGCATTGCAGGAAATACTTTCCTAGCTATCTTTATGAGCTGATGGGTGGTGGCCCTTTAATTTTATGGAAGGACACAAGGTTTCATGAGAGAGCCTCATTGAGTCAATAATGATTCTGAAGTGGTAAAGCAAAAGCCAAAAGGGCAGTGCTCCCTCTAGGTTCAGATTATGCCATGCTCTATGGCCCCATTATTTTCAACACAGTGTGCAAAAGCAGCTGTATCTGCAGCTGAACTGCTGGGATGTGCAAAGTGTGATTAATGCAGTTTCACCAGTTCCTTTTCTGTAGCCATTGTTATATGCCCTGTTTTTGTCTCTAGATCATCAAAGTGTGTGCATGTTGTTATGAATAATTCAGTAGAGACACAGGCTTATAACATTGTCTGCTTATAAGTCATGCATACCAGAATACTAATCATGCCCACGCCCTGGGCAGAGGAACAAGTTTAATCACCTTTTATCTGGTTGGTGTCTGTCACAGGCAGATTACTCAGCAGTGTGTGGTGGGTAACCGGTGCTACAGCAGCGGAGTGTGGTTGCTGCTCCAAGGTGCAGTTATTAGTCATGAAGACTGCATAAATCCCATGGCGATACATACCCCTCCACTTAAAGCCATTTCACAGAGCACACGCAAGCTGTGTTCATTTAATGGGATGTTATTTAGTGAAAGCTAGGAAAACCGGGGGAGGATACGTAAGTGACTGTAACTTGCAAGTCAGAGGGGTTTTCATGGATCCGTCAGTTCCAACGGAAAATGAAAACTCTCAAGTCTCATAGGCAAATGGCAATATCAGTTTTGCCACTGAGAGAAATTAGGAAGAGGACTGTGACACTGCAAGATATAATGTCTTCTGAGACATGGTAGTTTTATGCCTAGTAGCCAAACTTTTCTAATTAGTTTACTTTCTTTTTCTAAAGGCTCCTACCTAATTCCCTTTTCTGGAATTGAACCAACCAGTTGTGCAAACCTGGGAAGCCTTTGCCAAGGTAAGAAGCCCAGGTCATTTTCACAGTTTCATCTTTGTTAAATCTTTATTGTCCTTGATTTTTTTATTCCATTTCTTTTTTATTATTGTTTCTAAAAGGGAGAACTGTAATAAAAAATAGCAAGGAAAGGAATTCCTTAGTCTCGTCAAGTGTGTGGGTGTCCTGTACGTACAATATGTGGAAAAAATGTGATCACTCCCTTGATAAAACGTTTTCCAAATAGTCTCCCTTATATCCAAACTGTCCTGCGCCTTTTGACAGTAAAATATTAACCACGATAAGAAGTGAGTATATCTGTAAATAAAAAATGAGCAGTTGTAAAAGAAGGATCTGACTATTATTCATTTTTTTCCAATAAGCTATTTTGGGGCTAGGTATTTTTAGATTAGTAGGTAAAAATTTAACATCAAATTGCAAAATCTAGCAGCTGCTAGGTAGTGAAACACTTGTTACAGCACTTAGTGATGGTTTAATATTGTAAAAATTGCCACATGTAAGAATTCATAAGGTCTCTTGAAAGGTCAGCTCAGTTGAATGCAAGGAATAGGTGAACCCTAAAGATTTCCATGCCATGTGAATCGCTGAACATGCAAGGACATTTAATTCTTTCCGCTCTGCTTAGTGGCTGAAGTTGTATAAAAATGCTTGACATGAACAACATCGGCTGATTTCCACAATGCCTTCGTGGACACAGACCGGCTGAAGAGGTGACATCCTATGTTAAACTTTAATCACAGCAGCAGCTGCACCAGAAAGAATGTGTGCTCTGTAACTCTTTTCAGACTGAATGGTGGAGGATGCAAACAGGGGAGAATAAAATACAAAAGGGGAAGTCTCAGAACTCTTTTCAAAAGCGACATTTACAAGTAAATCAGATTTAGATTAAAAATGGAAAGGGCAATGCACTCTGCTTGGGAAGCCAGTAGGAGATGCATGTCAGGCTTCAGTGTACTTCTTCCAGATTTTCTTGAGGTAAATTTGGTTCAGGGTCTTGGAGCATATTGTACTGGTCTCCACAGGGAAAGTGAAATGGCAGTTATGTTCATAATCAGATTTTGAAAAGTAATTTTGAGACATCATATTCACAAAGCGCAGTATGATCTAAATACTACTACTTAAACACCCTAGGTAAATGTGACAGCAACAATTATTCAGTATTAATCTTTTTATACATAAAGGGCAGTACAGCCACTATATAAAGACCTTTGCCTATTCTCTTGGAAGAACTCTGAGAGTTTTCCTCTATTACGATGCTATGATGTGAAAGGAGAGAGAATATCTTTCATTAGGTCAGTTAATATGGCTGCAGAAATGGACACACTTTCAGCAAAACAAGCCTGCGTTTCTAAAAGCCTCATCCTTTTTTCCAGCTTTATTAACATGTCTAGTAGAAGACATTGCCTCTAATAAAAGATGCTACCTTCCAAACTTGCCTCTCTTAACTTCTTAGACCATCACATCTTCAAGAAACACTATGAGTACTTTCATGAAGGTAATATTCTTTCCTTCTGTGAAAAGTGTTTGGCAGAGTGTCACTAGTGTTCTGTGGTTGTCACTTTGGAAGTGACAGATCAGATTTACCCTGTTCCTCATCATCATCATTATTGGTATAATAATGAAAATCATAAAAATATGTCTGTCTGTTTCTGTGGGCAGCGCAGACTTATTTTCAACTGAGAGGCCAGTTTGGATTCTTTGTTTATTTGTTGTGTGTTGTGCAATAGCACCAGTAACAAATTTTGTGGATGGCAGATTATGTAAGCTAGTCTCATAAAAAAGCCATTTTCTCCATTACGCGTACCAAATACTTTCATTCATTGGAAGGTGCCTCCTTTCTCAGTGCTGGCTGGAAGATGCAGTCAGTAAGAAGCCTTAAAACCTGTCTCTCAGACAATGTAGCCCTGAAGTTACATGCAAGAAAACTTTGTTGTATTATAGGAGGTCACTTTATATATTCACTTTCCCAGTTAGAACCTGTTTGCTTCAGTCCCCAGTTCTTCCTTCTTTTTCCCTAAGTTTCTTGTTTCACTGAAACCTGAATATGAACCTGCTCCCTAAGACCTGAGTTTATGAATTTCAAGCTGAAATGGTTAGCTAAAACAACCTCGTAAAAAGTCAAAAGTGATATTTCGTGACAAAAATACAGTTGTTTCACCTTTCCAGGTAGGTTCTTGGTCAAAATCTGCAAAAGATATGTAATACTGCGAAATTATACCGCACCAAAAAAAGAGTTTTCAGGAAAAAAGAAATCTGTTATTGAGTGGATTTGCATTCCCTAGGAGTTACGAGATTAAATTAAATTATTTTCCAAACTATTCTTTGAAAATTTAGTTGCATGACCTTTGAATTCCTCTAGCATGTATACCCTCCCAGTCCACTATGGGGGAAATTTGCAGTTTTGGCTCCTCACTCTGAATTTGAAGTGTGTTCTAGCTAGTTCTCCTGGGAAACATTTGCCAAGGTTGTGTGGGATGACTCCTATTAGCATCTGTGGAAACAGTACAGCTGAGATCCTTTCAAAATATATATTCTACTCCAATTATTCCAAGTCCAATTTCAGTTCTCTTCATTGTATGGAGTTCAATGGAGTTAATTTGATAATTAAATGGATGTTTTAGTTTCAAATTTGTTTGCCATCTTCAGTCCCTCAGTACGGACAATTATTCTTTTCACAAGCAATATTCTAAGTACATGCATCTTAGAACTTGTAAGATCTATTTTCTAGTCTTTGCACAGCTGTTTGGATCTGAAGCTCTCATAAGAGGATTTTGAGTTTATGAAAGCAGTATAGGACTGATCTTGCAACCCTTACACTGGCAAAACTCCTACTGAAGTCAGTGAAAGTGAAGATTGCAGGGTTGGGACCTCAGTTCGTATCCGTTCATCACTTTGTGCAGAAAAAATAATGTGTTTGTTTAACATTTATGGCATTGTGTGTAGATGGTTTCATTTTACATTGTCATGCGTTGTTCCCATGTTGTCTTACCTCATTAACATTCATATTTCGTTCAAGTTCACCTCTTTCTCATCTTTATTACCAGCTACTGTAAATGCTACTACTCCTACACCACCCACTGTCACCACTAACATGCCCGATACTAATAGAAACGATAAGCCAAACAATGGTAAGAAATCCTGTGTTACATTTTTCTTGTACTTTGTCTAGAGCAAATTTATTGTGTTTTAAGGTGTGTTTTTCATACTATCATAATGCTAAGGGTCATGTCTCAGTTCTGATCTCATTTACATTGAAATAAATCAGGAGTGACTTCACTGGACTATTCAGGAATGGTGTAAATGAGAACAGAACCAAACTCAGTGTTTATTTATATCATGTTTACCTGACTCTTGTACGAAAGGGACTCACTTTGTGTTACCGTTGCATTTACCCATGGAAAGGACAAGGGAAGGGAGCGGTATTTTTAAAAAAAAGGTCCAGAAAGAATCAGGCTTTTGAAATGTTTTGAGGCTGCAGATTATGAGGCACTGTGTAGCTCCCACCGGTGCAGCCAGAGTGGTAGTGTGCTGGGATTGTCTGTTCCTCACTGGTCGAGCGCAGGAGCCAAGTGGAATCATTCCTATGGAGCAAAGCCACTTCCACTGAGTCAACAGGAATCTTTCCACTGACTTCAAGAAGAGCTGGATCAGACTTTACTAGGGAAAATGTTGACAGTATCAGATATCGTTTATTTTTCATTTAGAAAGATTAAGGGAAAAAATAAGGTAGTAAATGACACTATTATTAGTACAGGAAAAAAGCAGGGATTTCTTTTGAGGTTTTCTCATATCCTATGATATCACTGTCTCCTAGAGACTGAGCATCATTTTGTGAGGCACTGCGAAAATTTTTATTAGTTTCTTAGAGATAGTTGTTAAACATGATTAACCACACAGAGATAGATTTCTGCAATTTTCATTGGAGGCTTAAAGATATTTTTTGTAAAGATTTATTTTTTCACTGTGTTCCACAGAGGGTTTTTTTTTTTCCTTTTCCCCAAATGCATCAGTTGTTACTGTAGGATTTAAAATTCCTGGAGTATTTTGTCTCTTGGCAGATCATTTCTTATACGTTGGCAATCAGGCAGTACAATAGACAGTGTGAAAGAATTTATCTGAATTCAGCCTGTTTGGACTTACTAAGCTGTAGAAGTAAGAAGAAAATACTGAAAATTTCTCCCAAGTTGTGCTTTTTTCTTTTTGTGGAGCCACTCACACTATGTTCACTGTGACCAGTTGACTCTGATTTTTGTAACTACAGAAGGAACTGAATGCCTTATTAATGTTAGTGTGAATAAAAACTGGACAATAAGTCCTTTCTTTGTCTTCGAAACTCCCAAGAGAAAGTAGAAAGACTAAGAAAAATATGCCAAATTAATTTACAGTAGAAGCAAATTAAACTTTTACTTTAGTAACTCGCATCATTTTCCGCTCTTGGTAAGTTGATTTTTAGACAAAGAGCAGCCAGCCAAGAACATTAGTTCAGTTAAGTTGCATGTATTTTCTTGAATCCGTTAACTATGTGGCTTGCTACACACAGACCTGCAGGAATTCAGACTTCCTGCTACAGTTATCTTCAGAATGAGGAGAAATTCACCTGAATCTTCCCATTCACGACCACAGAGGCAGCAAGAGTCTAAGATACAAGGGATCAAAACCATAGGAATCATGTCAACCCCAATTATTTGGCCAGTGAAACAAAGGCCTCTCCGTTTCAGTAAAAACTCAGCAGATCAGAACCCAGAGAGAAAAAACACGTACAGCTTGTTTCTTCCAACTGTGTCCACATCAGCTGCTTTTGAGGAGACTGGCAACGATAGCTTGGCTGCTTTTACAGAGAAAATCAACCCAGATAATACTGTGATGAATCAGTTACCAAATGAAAATATTTTGAATGATTCTGGAAGTTCATTTCATGGCACTTCTGATGCAGCAGATGCTGGTACAGAGCCTTCTGTGAATGCAGCAGTTCCTCTTCTTCAAAACAGAAGTCCTTACACAGAGCTAGCGTGGACTTTGGCAAATGGGCTAGATAGTTCTGACTCTGAGTCAGCGTCCCACTCTCCTGTTAGCACCAGCAGCAGCAGCACTGCTTATGAATACAAAAAAGAAACCATGTGGATTTTGTCCTCCCACAGCATCACAAACAATTTCATGCATATAAGCGACATCTTGGAGCCTGTGAGTTGGTGGAGTGAGACTGTCTTTCATCATCATATCACCTCTGACATTCAAGAAGACAGACATTATTCTCTTTCTAGCTTATCTATATCACCTACAGAGGAGAAATCTTCAGTCCAAAAAAGCAGGCTAGATTTGCTAGACTTCGAACCTGAGAGTATTCGCCTGGAAATGGTAGAAGGCAATGCTGATAGGGAACCTATTTCTATGTTAGCAGCAAGTGGTGAATTTCAGCTTAGAAAATCTACACACATTAAGGAACGTCATTCAGGTGGCATTACAAATTTAACCTCTGTGGAGACTCCACGTGCAAACCCAACAACTTTTTTTCAAAACATGAAAAAAGCATACACAAGATTTATGCCTGACATCCAACTGACCACTTCAGTCCTAGGACACAGCAGAGAACTACTAACATTTTCAGCATTTCTGGTAGTAACAGGCTGGACAAGCCCAGCATTTAAGCCTGTTGTAACGACCCTGCCTGTTTATCAGAAGTCAATGACTGACATATATTTGGAAAGTGACAGCCTGTTTACATCTAACAGCAATTACTGGTCTCATCATTTAAAACATTCAGTGTATTTTCAAAAGCCAAGTGAGACCCTCAGAAATGGAGTACTGGAGAAGAATTTAGAAGCATTTCATGATAGTAATGAAAATGAAGAGTCAACTTTTTCCATATTAGAGCCAGAGAACATGAATAGAGTTGGCAGTTCCTGGGACTCAGGTTACTTGGATTTTCCAGCAAAATATGTAGATATTTCCCCTTCTTTAACAGCAAGTTTCTGGACTGCTTCCTATCATTTGAAAGAAGCATCTCAGTTTTCTGGTGAGCCATCAGAAAATTGGTGGCTCTCCTTTAATAAACTGCTTTCTTCCCCAACAGAGAGGTTGCCATCCGTTAGTTCACCTACTAAGTCTGACAGTATCTCCAAACAAACATCTGCCATTAGGTTATTAGGTCACAGGGCCAAAGAAATGAACTTCTCTAGTCGTGCATCAGCTTTGGAAACACAAATCTTTAGTTCATTTATTCTAGGTCTTTCAAAGAGAATTTCAGAAAGTAATGGCAGGACAATATCGCAGTTACAGTCAGCAATGAACTTTGCAAACCTAACCATCTCTTCCAACACTGAATTTTATTTTTATTTTCCTTTTCCTTCCCTGGAAGCACCTTTGAGTCAACCCTCTGTACGGGTACAGGTAAGTCCCTTTGATAAGGTACTTGAAAACTCCACAGAAAAACTAATGATATTTGATAGTTTGCACGTTGAAATTGGGACTGACGTAGTAAGTGATCAAACCAATATGACCTTCCTAAACAATGGGCAGCAGCTTGTTTCTGTCCTTCCAGCACATTCAGGAATGCAGTCTTCATGTTCAAGGGATAGCCAAGCTGCTTTCTTGATCAATACACCAGTTAAGAGTTTGGTAAACAGTACAAGAGCACATGGATCACCGCAGACTCAAAGTCTTTCAGCAAAAGATGCTGTAACAACTACTATTGATAAGGCAGGAAGTAGCGTTCAAATAGATGCAGGGTTTTTTTTAGAAAACAACGGTTCAACGAGTTCTGACTTGCTTCCAATGACATTGTCTTTGGAATTAAGGCACCTTCTTCATTCAAACTCAAAATTCAGAGTCAGTGTACCTCCTAACAGCTACACCACACCTCCACTACGACAAAGTTTTCATAACCAACTTCATACAATTTCTCCGAGACTGATCCCTCAGTGGAACGTAGCAGAGTTAAGCTTGCCAACAACAGTTACACTGAGAAGCCATCTAACTGTTCTAGGACAAAACTCTGTTGAAAATCAGAGGGACAGTCTTAGGTACTCTCTATGGGCAGTAGAACAAGAAATCATTGTTGATAATGAAGACATAAGGAATTCTGCTGTTCTGACGTCAATAAACACATTGAGGCTTTCCAAATGCGATTCAAAAGGGGAGATGTATGGATCTTTGAGCAAGCACAGTGAAGGAATGTCTTCTCTGAATATTGTTAGTACTCGTGCCTTGGATTTTGAGAACATGGATTATGGACATTTTGCACATGTCTCTTCTGTTTTGGAGTCATCAAGAACTGCAGTAATGAATGATGCGATACCTTTGCCACCTTCATATAGTGGAGTTGTTATTCAGCACAAAGAGACCATCTTGATGGGCTCTCTGACAACACCTGCAGCAGCCATCCATCACTCTTTCATGCAGTCCAAAATGCCAGTTTCTGCTGTAACGTACCATCAGTCATCCATTTCGGCACCTGTTCATTCCTTGGCCAACTCACCATCTGGGACGAGCCAAAATACCACCCCTTACCCACCACTGAATCAACTTACTAGCTCTCCTGCAGTTTTTTTATCTTGTTTATGTTACTCCGAGCTGGGCTGCCTGTGTCAACCTGAGGTCAACTACAGTATGTCAAGCCATTAAGTCAAATGTAGAAAAAACCCTGATCATCTCATCTATTAGATATTCTGTTCGTAGACTGAACATAGAAGTAGATGTTTCATCTTTTAGCTATAGATCCATTTCGCATATGAAAAGATTTTAGAATAGTAATTTAATTACAGTAGAAGGGAATTTCTAACATCTTAGTGATAGTAAATGTCATTAGTGTGTGATCTGTAATTTTTGTATAATTCTCTAAGACAGCTCTCATGAGACTGTGAGGATAATGTATTGTGTTGCTATGTATTTTATATATTTTTATGCCATTTTACTGTTTGAGATTGTATGAATGTTTTTCACTTACAGTATTCATACATTTTTGAGGATTTAACTTTCAAAAAGCAAAGATTTTCCAAAAGAAATTTTTGGATAATTTGTCTAACAGAATTACAAAACCCAATCCTGGTACTTCATTTATCATTGTATTTTTGTAGTTGGGAGTGGGTGTGGGGAGAATTGTTTTTTCAGGTTCTTTTTTCCTCTTTTTTCAAATTATCTTTGGCTACTTTTCATCAATTATCTGCCCATAAAAATATTTTTTTTTCATTCAGCATTTTGAGGTGGGATTTCCACTGTTTAATTTGGAGAGTGAGAAATCATTTTTAGTTTTCGCTATCTGCCACTGCAGTCTCCTGAGAGTGTTTAAAAATGTAGATTAGTTCTTTGTTCTTGTTCTTTTTTCACCTCATTAAAACACGCTTTGGGTCACCATCTGGTGGAGATCTTGAAGCTGTTGACTCTAGTTTGTAGTTACTATATTTGGTCTTACAAATACTTTGCATATTTCTATACTGGGGTGTTTTTGTCCATATACATGTTTATATATATTATGCTATAATTATATATATGATTATATATGAATGTGTAATAATATATACAATGCACACTTTCAGTATGTGTGTATATGTGTAGCACATATAAAAGGTACATTATTGAATATATGTATATATAGAGGTATATACATATAAATGAGATCCAAGTCTTGCGAGTGTTTTCAACTTAACCCAAAGTCCAATCTTCTACTTCCAAATACTTATTTTTTACTCTTTTTGATTTGAAACTATCACAGTAAAAATAACAAATAAAAATACATTTTCAGATTAAACTGCACACCAAATTTGTGTGTCTGCTGGGTTAAGGGAAGAAAAAAAGACAGTAAACCAAAAAGCAAGCAAGTTCATTCTACTCATATCTAAAATCTAATCACAGCTTACCAAAGAAGGTAACCGGTAAACCATCTTCCTGAAAGAAATTGATTGTTTAGTGTTTTGTCACAAAGGAATGTTCATACTAATCTCAGTGATCATAGGGTCAGTTCCATAATGAAAAGAAAGAACAATACTCAACCTAGCTTGTGACTAGGATAGTAACAAATATGCACAATTAAATTGGAAAGTACTGACTTCAATTTTTTTCCAGATACTTTTATTTTAAGCTCTTATAAAACCATTATCTATTGTAAAATGACAAAATTTGCTCTACACGTCTATAACTAGAATAAAGGGTCTTTTATTTAGACTCAAAAAGATAGAGCAGTTCCTTTACAATCAAGAGACAAGAGACAGAAAGGGATTTCTGTATGACTGTTGTCATGTCCTGTTCTGTCCTGTGTAGTGTCTCTGTAATATGCACATAAGATTTATATAAATACATCTATCTGTGATCAAGACCCACAACTTCATTTGGTAACAGCCACGAACTGAGCAATGCCACATGTGCACATACATGCAAGTGGATTGATCCAGAAGTTCTTAAACCTCCCCCACATCCTGAGAAATATTATTCAACCAGACTGGACAGAATTTTCAGTGGCTTAATGAAAAAAGTTTCACGTGTGAAAAGTAAAGACTTTTAACACAGAGCATAACCATGAGATGATTTGATATTATTTATTAGACGTGAAGTCTTGTAATGCTGTCTACCAACTCATGAGCTTAAAGAGAATTTATATTTACCCAGTGCCGTTTCAAAACATTTTTACTGAATATAAAATTGCTCCAAGCCAAGCGCTACACACTTTGTGGCTGAAAGATGGTTTGTTCAGCTGCTGGTTTTGTGAAGCTAATGTGGGCTCTTCTACTATCTGGCCATCGCCAGGCCTGAGAGCAAAGACTGTGCTGTGAAAACAAGAGCTGGATATCCCTTCTCCCACCTAATTCTGTCCTCAGTTATGTTGTTACTTTGAACTGATGAGCCTTATCTGCTGTCACAAAGTTTTAAGTCTAATTTGCAGTGATTGAATTCTGGATTATAACAATATGACTGAGAGCAGAATTTATCCATGTTACAGACTTCATTAGTTATGGTTCTTTTTTAAATTCATGACACTTTCAAGTTCTTGCTTTTACATACCACATCGAAGACATATGCAAAATATTATTTATGCATACATCGCAAGTTTCCATGTCACATTTCAAGTGTTTCTAAAAGGATAGGGGGGCAGGAATTATTTTCTAATTCAACAGGACTAGTGAGAATGTGTCCAAGCCTGCAGGGCTTGTTCACTCCAAACTTGTATAATGTCAACAAGAGCTTGAGGTGTCGTTTTGTCTGGGGTTTAGTCCAATCTTTATAGTCATCATGAAACTAAGGTTTTATTACTAAAAAGGTAAATTTTCTCAGTTTCTAACATTATAATGCTGTTTTTAATGGACAGGTGGGCTGTTCTACAGGATATCTATAATTGTCTTTAGTTCCAACTCGAACCCAGCGGTGAAAGTACATGATGTCATTGCAGAATGGGTAAGTTAAGTTTTCTTTCCTGTATGGTTACCTATATGGATGTGCCGCATTGGTGTTGTCAATCTGAAAAGGGAAAAAAAGAGACAATACCAAATAAATTCTTAAGTTAATGTGTTCTATTATTTATTTGCACAATAGTGAATTCAAGGCTAGCTGGGGTTATTAGGCACTGTGGATAAAATTTTGAAATGTCTCCACTATACCAGCCAGCTCCTTAAGAAATGAGGATACCAGCTGAGATTTTGGAAAGTACAGAGAAATCAAAACTGTGTACCGAAAGATGTAGATGTTTAAGTTCCAACCTCACTATACAGAGCGAAATTTTTCTCCCCAAAGACTAATGTTGTTTTGAAGTTATTTTGTGACAGAAATAATAAAACAGGCAGTGTTCATTTGTATGAGGCAATACACTTTTACAATTTACCTTAATATTCTCTACATTAGAAGTCTTCTGCCACAGAGTTGTTGGGGTTTGTAGTAGCACCTGTTTTTTCAGCCCATTTTAGCAGACATAAGCTCCTTCCTGGGCCCTCTGGGTGGAGGATTATTGAAGTTCCTACCTCTGAAAGTTTCTTCTGTGTGAATGCAGATATTCTCTGTCCTTTTTGACAGGTCATCTAGTAGCACTCACACAATCTGTAAGTAGTCTTTATACCAACTACTTACAGAAAATATGATGTCATAAATATATGGCACTGATGCTTTATTTTTCTGTTAATGAACCTGGAGACTTCAGCTTTCAGAAGCTAAAGAAGAGAAACCACCTATAGTCATCTACAAACCAGAAATACAGCCATCCACGCCCCCCAAGATTGTTCTCTTAGCAGCAGTAGCCAGGCGAAATACGTAGGTTCCGAGCCAAAGAATCTGAAGAGGAGTCTCTTGGCCCTAGCAGAATGTGCAAAAATGTCTCCCAGGGGAAAACTGAGCAGCCGTTGTCCACTCAGAATAAATAATACAAAGATCTGGAAAAAAGATTATCATAAGGTTGTAGACTTTCAGGTGAAAATTGACCCTGTAGTTTTGTCAGTGGATCTTTTCTAATCAAAGTGTTTCTGAGAATTTAAGATAGGAAAGAGAGGGAGAAAGTGAAAAGTTCAGCATCACGTGCACTCGCCTATTCACTGTGTCATGACCTAATAGAGATTTCCATCTGTTAGTAAAAATGCCCACATCTCTCACTACCAGTTATACACCTAATAAAACAATCACCTTACTGAAATGGAAGTGTTCTCTTTGCTTTGAAAAACTGAAAGGGATTTCTCAAGGGGGAGAAGGGTGAAATTCTAACTCTGTCTTAAGCAACAAAGAGCCCCATTAACATCTCACCATTCATATGATCAATGTCTTCCTGTTTTTCAGCTAAACCGTACTTTCCAGAACTGGAATTACACTGTGTATGTGGTCAATATCAGGTAAATGAAGGGGGAAGATGTTTATGCTATGTTCCTTTTGAGAATTATTCTACCCTAATTAATGTTAATTTCTTTTCTAGCATCCACCCTGGCTCCCTAAAAGAGGCAGTAAGACAAAAAAGAAGTATTAAAAGGTAACATTTTTAAAGACCTTTTTTTCTGATAGAGGAGCAGGTGCCATTACAAGTGGCTTTACAACAGGCTTTATTGTGTATTATGGGATTCGTTGTCTATTGCTGGGCATATGCTGCAAATCTGTAAATATAAGACTGCTGGCTAGCTGAGTGCTCTGGATGTGCTCAGAAGCCTAACACTGGTTATCGTGTTTGTTTTGGTTTAAAGCTACTGAGCTTTAAACCTTAACTGATCATTTTTTCAGAGCTCAGGTTTCATCTGTCGCAAAACTGGATAGACATATCGTATATACGTGGTATGGCACACACAGCTTTCTTTAGCAACAAGTTTTGGTACACTGGTATCTATCCCCTGCCACAGCATTTATTCTCTTGAACCAGAGCCTTTTGAGTTAACAGACATCTTACTAGATGCAAAACACTGCAAAATCATGCTAGAATTGAAAGCCAAACTAGTGTGAGTTAAACTATTTACCATATGCTCTCATTTCCTGACTTCTGCTGGGCTTGGAGGCGCAGGAGTTGGGACGGCCTCAAAGGCAGCCAAAGAAAGTTAGCTGGGCCACACCCCTGAAAATTGGGCCTCAGGGGATTTCTTTGAAAGCAGACTGATTTTTGAGGGATATATGGGGAGGGAATGAATCTTAGGACCAAATTAAGGAGAGGAAACCAAAACCTAATTAATGGTGTGAGGAAGGGGGAACAAGTGGGTAAGGGATGTATCTATTTGCAGTGTAGGCAAAAGTCCCGTAGGAAAGGACTTTTAACTGCTGACTCTTGAGAACTGCCATGATAACAGCTGGGCTTTTTAAGTTCAGAGATAGCCCAGTATTCCCAGTTTACCATCAGGAATTACTTACTGATGCTTTTAGTTTTCTACAGAGTTTACCTAGATATGAAAAGATTTGTAAGAGGTACTATCTCTTTCCCACACACCCACAGCAGAAAGACAGCTTTTATTGCCAAAACCGTTTAACTGGTATAGTGTAAATGCAGTCTCTGAATGGGCTGTTTCGCTGCTTGACCTACGTTTACAGTAGGATGTAGTGATGTGGGTGGGATTTTTTTTCACAGTTCTAAATTATATGGTTATGCCAGCATAACCTTTTAAGTGGAGACCATGCCTCAGGTCTTACTAACAGTCCAAGACAGCTGAGGAATTTAAAGCTTTCCCCATCCTTATTTCTGCATCTTTTACAAGGCTAGCAGCTCAGTTTGTTCTCCCCTAGACTGCACACCTGATTTCTTCTCATCTCATCTTCCCGCCATCCTGTCCTCTGGATTTTGTTTCCTCTTCCCAGTCTATAAAAAAGAGGAGGTGAAAAGGGAGAAGTTATTCTAGTAATTCCGTTTCCCTCTCCTCTCCTCTCCCCTCCCATTCTGACACACAGTGAATACAGCACTAAATTACTTCTAATAATGTATCACTGTTACAGGGAAGCAACCCCATTCCTATTTACTTTGCTCATCAGATGTAATTTCAGAGGCAATGGAATTACAGGTTCGTAGTATGCCATAAAGATTTTCAAGGGAGACCTGGTCTAATGAGAAACTAGTCTTCTCATGAGCTTTAGTGCATTTTGTGTCAAGGCCAAATGGCATTTTATCATCGTTCTGAATAATTTAGTATAAATGCTAATCATGACGACACACAAAACGTTAGTGTTCTCCAAATAATCACGATTATTATGCTGTGCATGTTTTCTTAGAAAAGAGACAAAAAAGAGAAGTCAAGATTCTGCCCTACCTAGCAACCTGGTTGGGATAACATAGGGATAATTAAAAATTTAATAGAGCTACATGATATGTGACTGACAAACAAAAATTACACTTTTTATACATTGTATATGCATGGATTTTTTGCTATTTTTACATGTATTTTTCGTGTGTTGCATGTATTTTTACACATCTCTTACAGTAGAAACATTTGGGAAAAGTTGGTGTTTTCCCAGCTTTAGGTCTTCTGTGTATATATCTATCATTGTACATTGCTTCACATCTGAAAGAAGGATTAGCTTCCCAGTAGTTTTCAGTGTTCCTGGGTTTAGTCACCAGGTTTCCAGTTCTTTGAGGTTCACAGACCTGTTTCTAGATTTTGCAAGGAAGAAATCTGTTGAATTTCTGAAGATCCAGAAAGCAAACTTTTTTCCTACTACTTCCCAATAATTGTTTTCAAGATACTTTGTTAGGTTTTCCACTATCTTGGATTTGTCCTGGGTAGGATCCTAAGGAAATCCTACAAGACACCAGAGTAACATTTTTGGGGTGTAAAAAATTAGCAGGTTACAAGTTGGAAGTTTTTAATCCCTGGTGGAAGTAGTGCTAATTTCTCACTACTTGGGTGTTCCACTGAAATGTTATGGCTGAGTTTTTGTAAGTAACTTGCTCACAAGGTGATGTCATACAGTTTGTGTTAATTCAATATTCATATATATTATATCTGTGAATAGTTGTCCAAAGATTTTCTTATTTCTCCTTTCTTTATAGTTAAGAAGTCTCTTGCAGTTTTAGACATTCCACTATTTCCCTTAGATTTTAAATACTTTTTATTCCATTTTACCTTCATGTTCATCTGAGCAGAATTTCACTCCACAGTTAAAATTTACGACCTCACCCGTAAGTATTATGGCCTTAACTTTATCTTTTACAGAAGTGAACATATTAGTCTAACTCACTAAATCTTACCTCTCTTTTCTGAATTTTCCACGAGAACATAGCCTGCTTATTTCTAAAGCACTACCATAGTTCTTTAAATTGCTCTTTGAGAAGTTTTCCCTCTCTTTAGATGAATTCATATTCTTATCATTCAGATCGCATCTTTTTTCCTTACCTTTTGGATTAGCATTTTAAACAACAGTTAAAAAACAAACAACCTTTCCCAACATTTTCTATGCATTTTGCTTTGCTTCAACCCTCATCTGCCACACTGCTGCCCTATCAAGGAACTTCCATTATCAGTCTCCCCACCTAGTCTTCTTGCAAGTGAAAGAGGAAGGATAGTTAGAGAGAGAATGATTCAGAGAAGAAATAGAAGCTGGAAGTGGGAGGTAGGAAGCTGGCTTTTTCTGACACGTTAAAAATAGGTGTTTTCCAAATAAATATTTTAAACTGTACTGCATTCTGGAGAAGAGCAAAACAAAACAAAAACATGGAAGCGGATTGTTATTCTTTCATAGCTGTGTTCTGAGCTGCAGAAATCCAAAATGCACTGTGCTTATTATGCATTTATGTACGTGGTGGTGAGAGACAGAGTGCCAAGTCCAAAAGAGCATATTATTATCAGCATCTTTAATAGTGTGAGATCTCTGGATGACAGCAGTATATCAAGCTAATACTTTGGTAGATTATTAACTACTTTCATAGACAGATTTTTATCACAGCTATACTTGACTGTGTGTCTGTGTTTAATCTTATCCTCTGGTCGTACCGTTTCCATCGCTTAATGAGGGCAGCTGTTCAAAATAAATGCAGGAAGGAGTTCAGAATGGGCTATGGACATAGCTGTTTCTTTGTCCCCCATTATTTTGCACAAACCTTTGAAAGTGAAGCTGATTTGTGCATTTTATGTAGATAAATTGTAAATGTGTTTCTTTCAATAATTCTTTGCCTTTTATGACTCTGCAGCTTTATCAGTCTTTCTGTGACTGCTGCTTTGCTTGGAGGGGTCTTAGTGATCCTAGGTCTTGTCAGACGACTATAGGGCTGCCTCAGTAGCAGAACTGGTCTTTATTAAGCAGCTCAGCTCCCCTGCTTCTCATTCCTTCTTTTATTTCGCAAGCAATTTTGAGAATTCAAGCCCCAATTCATTTATAACCTTTTCTCCACTTAACATACAAAGAAGATTATGCTTGCTCCAACTTCCACTACTTGATAGTCATAGTTTGGCCTATTTATTTCCTGTGTTCAATTGCTTTTACTTTGTGAAACAACATTAATGTTAGTACTGTTAAAAAACTCATCCAAATTAAAAACCACAGTGATAGCAGTCTGTGTAAAGACCACTAAACTTAAACAGAAATCCCTTCTCTTAGGAACAAAAACAAAGAGGAAAGCAGGAAATCGGAGCTGCCCATGCCTAGTCCTGCTTTTTTGAAGTTCGTGGGAGTTTTGCCACCAGTGTCTGTAAGGCACATTCAGGCTCCTGCATGCTGTGTTCTTGGGTGCTGTGTTGCTTAATGGAAAGTTTAATGCACTTGGATAAAACTTAAGTTAATTAGGTTGTGTAATAGTTTTAGACAGGAGTTAGTAACATCAGAGCAGCATAATTTTGCTTTTATAGTCCTAAGTATCTTTACTGAGTAAAGTATTAGGCTTTTCCATTCTTTGTAGATTACTTCAGATTATTTGTTATGAAATAACAATGCTATTCTTGTTATAAATGAACACATCTGCACTGCCTATTCCTATTTTAAAAATTTTCCTGGTTTCTACGGTTGAGGATTTAGGAACAACTTCTGCCTATCTACTCCCCCTGACTTCAAGTTTGGTGTTACCGAAGGCGGTAAGGGACAGCTATGACCAGTGCTGAGCAAAGTTTAAACATGCCACCTAATGCGTACATTATGTGTAATATTTCTGCTAGAAAAACTAGCCAACAAAGAGCCAAGGTTTCTCCACAGTGCCCTGCTGGCATCTTGTGTCCATGACCTGTAAAGAAAGCCTTCATCACAGATGGAGAAATTTGGGAATTCCTCCCAAGTGACTGAAGCATGATCCTTTCTTAGTCTCCTGCTGACCCTGCCTGCTTTTGATCCAGCTTCCAACGACTTCCTTTGTCTTTCCACTGACTTTAACCTGAGTTAATGTAGGCCTGACATTGTTAGTTGACATTTTTAGGGGAGTAATGTAGTGGGGAATGGGGGTTTTCTTTGTTGTTCTGACCCATACTTCAAGCATAACCAAAAACTCCTTTCAGCGAAGACCAGCTGTTGAAATGTGAGGGATTCCAGCTCTTTCTGTTTTCCCTTTCTGCTATGTTCTCGAATAATGAATAGTCTTCATACCAAATCATCACATATTATAAGTGCTTTCTGTTGAAAGGCCATAGATATTTGTATTCCCACACCAGATCTGCAAGGAGGAGCAGGGCCCAGAGACATGAGGACAGACACAGAGGCGTGACCATGCTCCTCGCAGCAAAGTTCTGGTACAATGGCCATTAGCTTAAAAGGAAGGCTTTGGGTACTTTTATTTTTTTGTAGTCAAAAAAGTAGCTTCAATTTTTAGTTTTATGTCCTGAAGTCTCAGATTTTATATTTTTTTCTAGAACATTGCCTTCTGCTGAGAAAGAAACCTCTTCATCCTTGGCATTACTTTGAATGTGTCTGTTATGTTCAGTTCCTACTCTTTTCTCTCTGTTTTGAACATTTTAGTGGTATCACAGCCCAAATTTCCTCAAGTAAAAGTTTATCCACAACTCGGATGCTTTTGTGGAAGGCTTTTAATTTCCCTCTATTTTCATGTTTCTTTCTGTCTCATTCTGTGTGTTCTCTAACATTTTGTCTTCTGTTAGTGTTCTGTCTTCACTGAGTGGCTTATGCAATAGTCAGCTTTTTTTTTGTCTGTCCAGTTAATGTGAAGAAGTTAGTAGTATTTGCAGGTGACTGTGTGGGCCTACGTGTGCTGCCAGTCTTGAGTTATAGCTACCGATCTCTGCTTATCTTCAAAGCCAACATAACAGCAGGATTGGTAAAGAATTTCATGCTGATATCTTAAAACTTTTTTAAATATGCCAGCATAGTTAGGAATTAAATTTCCAGTCACTTTTAGTGGAAATTTAGATTCCCTGAGTACTTAGGTTCTTTAAAAATGATTTTTTATATACCTTAAGTTAAGTAATATCACCTGCAAAAGAAATTAGTAGTGATTTGTTAAACAGTTTGACAACCACAGTAATTCAGCTTTAGTTCAGTCTGTCTTAGTACAACTGAAACAAGAGGAGAAATAGGCATTGCTAATTATCAACCACATATCTTCAGGTATCAGACAGCCTGCATTGCACAGTTCACATAGTTTGTTAATCCTTCCTTCGAGCTCCTCGCATCGCGCAGCAGTGAGACCACAGCCCCTGTGTAGGCACACTGTCCTGGAATAGCTCTGAGTCACGCTGCCAGAGAAGAAAGCCGGCTTTGTGGTACACGCCATGGCAGCGCAGGCACCCCCGCTGCCTCCCGTGCCTCTGATGAGGATGCAGCTTCGCAGACTCCTCTCCCTCTGAGCCAGCTTAGCTTAACGGACAAGGACAAAGTGGGGTAGACGCCGGTCTAAATGAAAGGGGCATAAATACTTATCCTTGTTGTGTTTACCTACACCACAGTCCATTTTTTTTATATTGACAGCAGTAATACTAGGATTACAGGTTAGTGTAGATCATGGGTAATTTGTAATTGATTAGTGCTGCAAGAATCTATCTGCTTTTAAATGGCACACAATAAAAGACGTAAGGTTGGGTATAGCAAGTCCAGTGACACTAGCAGAGCATGGCAGTGTTGCCATTTATTTGAGTGTAGGCCTACTGTTTCCCAAATCGAGAGTTTTGTTCTTCACCATTAAAATGTTTTCTTTCTGGGATCTGAGTGCGACAAAAGTGGAAGGAGGCTCTCAGCTTCATATTGCGTCAGCTGTTGAGTTAAAAGGTATTTATTTACTTTGGGAAGCTAGCATGAGTCATTCTGAAAAGTTTATAGAAATTGTTTTCGTCACAATATGGAACAGGCTCTCATTACACAGTATACATGACTTGTGCTCCAAGAGTTTCTCAGAAAACAAATAACAAAGTGGTTTAGCAGATTATTTTTATCGGTGCTTCATAATCAATACTTTTCTCTGTAATCGTTCAATGTAACTGTAACCAGTTTGACCTCATCTGTCATTATTGCTTCCATTTTGTTGCCATTATCCCTCCCCACAGTTACGGCTACTAAATATCATTTTGTTTAGTTGGGAGTCCTGCAATAGTCAGCATGGTAGTAGCAGTGACTGTTCACTTACGACTTCTGTTTTACAGCCAAAGTGCTGAGGTAGGGAGTGGCATCAGTATATTAAGTTTTCCTCTTCTGAAGTAAAGGGAATAGATGAGTGAAGCCAGAATCTTTTAGGAAAGATGGTTAAGCGCCAGGAGACTCTGGGGCTGAAGTATTGGAGGGCTGAAGGAACTGGCAATCCCGTAGGCAATTTCCATGCTTCTGCTAAAAATAAATGCCATAATAAACGTGTGCCTCCTAATATATCTGAGGTATACAGCAAAAGGCTGCTAATGCATATCGACCCTACTGAGACTATTGCCATATGTTAAACACTCCACAGAGACCAAAGGAATGTTAGGAGGAACTCAGTGTCTCTGGGAGCAGGGCAGGAGCAGCGTGGCCAGGGATAGCTGGATTTTCTCTGCTATGACACATCCACTGATGAAAAAACAAGCCAAACCAGCAGGTAGTCACTTTTTTATCTTCTTCTTCAGTAACATGTTACTGAACAGCAGGTATGGAAAGAAAAAAGAAAAGTTTATTGGTGTTCAACAAAAAATCTAACAAAAAACCCCACCAACCAGGGACTGTGTATATTATTTACTTAGTTCTTGACATCTGCAACAGTGAAATGTGTGGAGCATTTAGTTCGTATTTGTGATTTCTTTATGAGGTTTGGGCTTTTCTTTTTTTTATTTTTTCCTAGTCTGAGAGGTTGTTTTCTAACACCAATTCTTTGAATGCCATTTCACTAAGGAGAGTACTTCAGAATTATTGGTTGGTGTTAGTTTTCAGAATGATGTCTGACAGAAAAAGGGTTAAATCTGCCGTCTATAAGTGGAACACTAAGCTGTAGATTTATACTGTACCAGACTAGGCACCTCTGCGAAGTGCATCTCTGAGCTGTCATCATGGGGATGTCTTTCTGGAGGGTTTTTGGAAATGAAGCTCTGGTCTGTCTAGGAAGGGGTACCTGAAAACCGTATTAGCCCTCTCTCATACAGCACACCTACAGTTTTTTTCTTCTCTTTAAGCAGACTGCAAGACCCTTCGTCTCACCGCTGCTTTCTCATGCTGGGGGCCGCCGGTGAAAGGCGCTCGGTTCGGTGTGTGGCCTGCTCACTCAATGTATGCTGGCAATGCTACCACTTCCCAGGCTGCTAGGAACTGCTCACACACCACAAAGATCTGTCTTTATTCAGGCTGCTGGGTATCCAAGGGCAAGGCTAAGATGAAGACAGCCCAAAGCAGGGCTGCTTTTTCCTTTTTTCCACATTTTGGCTCCCATGGAGATCCAATGTTCCATGCTTCAGTGGCGTCACCTCCTACTAGCCACAGCCAAGCAATGCTCTTGGGTACCCACATATTCTCTTCTCCACCGTGTGTTTTCTGTGTCCCAGGAGGAAATTTCTGAGCCTTCCGCTCTGGGCTTCTTTACTATGTCCTGCTAGAACTGCTTTTCTGTTCATTATTTCCCTTCCAGAAAAGCTATGTTTTTGGACAAGGGTGGGGACTGTTTTATTTCTCTCACAGGAAAGAGACTTGGGCACTTTGAACTACTTCTCATGCCCAAGAAAGTAGCAGTGGGCTACAGTACACAACAGCTATTACTGCTCAAACTTGAATTACTCATCTGAGCAACTAGACTTTCCTAATTAGGACTAAAAGTTACAGAAGTGTGTGAGGGTGTTTTTCACTACGTCAAAATTTAGACGTTTAATCGTCAGGCATCTGTTCTTCATTAATCTTGTAGCCTTCCTCTGTAGTCAGTGGAGAGAGATAGACCCTGTGGAGGATGACTTGTCCCATTCTGACAAGTTTCGAAAGGTAGGATGAATCAGCTCGTAAGTTCCTAGGCCATCAGCAACCAGATTTTTAAATTTAATTAAGGCACATTTAGAACTCACAACTCACAACTTTATGCTTTCATCTTTTACTATCTTTTAAAATAATCTAAATCTTCTGAAAACATTCCTTAGCTCTTTAGATGAGATGCTTCTTTAATGGTAAGTAGAGGATGAAATTTACCAACAGTACTTTCTTGTTGTGGCCCTATGTATAAAAAAATAATAATCTACAGATAGCGAGCAAAATTGTCTTGGTGACACTGTTCCATACTCAGAAAACCAGACTTTGTCATATATTTTTATTTCCACATATTTGGCCTCTGCTGTTCTGACTCAAACACTCGGATAATTTTCCTTGCAGTTTTGAGGTTTTGGCTCTTCTGGTTTATAATTCTACCAACAACATCAATTTAGAAGAGGAAGACATCCGACAGAAGCTCATAAGTAATAATGGGACCATAGAAGGAGGATATAAGCTTCATACCGTGGAAGTTGATCCAGTGGGCAAGTAGTTTTCAGCTTTGTTACACAACAGATTTTGTTTGCTTGTCCATAAATAAGCATCTTTTGTGTTAAAATAATCACACATTTTCAAACAGTATGACTGTTTCAGATTTTAAATTGTCCCTTTAAGCCTCGTTGTTCCACTAATCTCAGAGAGCCGTGCTCAGGATACCTCTTTTAACACAAACACAGTTGTCCAGATTGCATTAGTCAGTGTTCTGCTGTCTGGTTCAAAGAGGTTGGGACAATTCCTGACAGCTCCTCTGGCAGTTTGAGGAGAAAGAGGTATGATTTACAGCCAGAGCTATAATGAGACACTCTGGACCTCCAAAGCCCCTCATGCCCTCTCATCTACCCTGTTGTTTGTGCTCCTGCCAGCTGCTGCCCTTAGTCAATCTCTGTTTAGCTCTCATCTTTTGCCATTCAACTTCTTCCAGTCAGAGACTGCCTTTCCCTTGGGAGGGAGGAGGTGGGAGCTGGTGGAGTGCGAGTGGATGCAGCATGAACGTTCATTTTTTCCCTTGAGCAGCAGCAGTGTATGTTGTTGCCTGTTGTGCACCTCTCCATTGCCACTACTCTACAGATAACAACCAAACATTTCATTTGAAGACAATTTTGTGCAGTAGGCTGGTTGATGAGCTAAGGGCAAGAAATGGAAGATGATTAGATGAAGAAATTTACTGTTAACACTGAAGTATTTTTATTTTTATAGAAAAATGTTTAGCTGAAGAAAACCCTCCAAACTATTTTTGGCCGGATACCAGACCGACTGTGACGAACTTCACATTATGCCATGGGAGCTCAGTTCAGACTGCATCAAGAACCTGGTAGGTATTCAAATATCTGAGAAGCTGTGAGCTTCAAATGCAACTTTCTGATTATATGGTTAAACTGCATCCTCCATAATGGTTGCCATTGGCTGGTATTGTACTTCAGGAAGATGATTTCTGTACTGTGAGAGATTAGGTGTGTGCAGTAAGAAATGTACTTCATTAGTGAGAAAGAAATGCTCCTCTAAGCACTTCTGTAGGGCATATTGAGGCCCACAATTAATACATGTTCAAAGTGACTATAAAAATAGCACCTTCTGAAATTGCTTTCTTCAAGTCATGATATTTATGTTACAGAAACCAAAAGTTTCACATTTGCTACCACTCTGCTACTACTATCTGACTTGTATAAGAAATTCTCAACAAAATTCTGTCGAGATATGTATTTGGTTTAATCCAGAACCTCTCATCTCATTAGGGGAAAGTAAAAGAAATCCTGTGAAACAAGCATTTTGCAAGTACTTAGTCATAGTTGAAGATGTGGATAATCTCATGCTTAAAGATTTGAACTTGATTTTCTAAGGTTTAGGATAAATTTTCCCTAATGTAGGCTTTGTTTGTGAACATCTACAAAAGATTTAGATGCTATATCTCTGTTTCCCATTTGTAGAATGGGAGTATTATTACTTCCTTTGATATATTACCAAAACAATACGGCTTTGATCTCCCTTGAATGCCTTGAATGTGGCTATGATGATGCCATATTAATTGATTTCTTTAGCATTTAGGATGATCGCCATTGAATGCAGTGTAGTAGTCTTATCTGCCCACATTGTATCTAGAATATGTTCTGAGAAGACAAGATCTTTTACTTTTTGAAAACAATATGGCAACATGGATATGAATCAGCTCTGAGATTCTGTGCCAAACAGGAAAGAAACTAACGTTATATTTAACTAACTCACTTCCTCAGCCTCTTAATCTTGTACAAGAACTGCTAGATTCTAATTGACTAACTTTTGTTGTAGAGTGAGTCGTGCAGAAATTGTTTTTATGTCAGAGCCTTGGAAACAATAAAAATTAAGGCTGCTGGCCTTTGCTGCCCCAGCCAGTATTGCTTATCTTTATTGTTCATTTGTGCTCTACACAATAGTATTTATTTTCTGTATACAGCACTTCTCACTAAAAAAAATACTGTGTTCTGCACTGTGCTATGCTTTCCTTGCCTCTGTCTCCACTATCTTTTGCCAATATGGAGCACAGGTGGAATGTGTTTTGAGAGAAGAGGAACCTCTTCTAATGGTCTCTACTAGTCCTGTGCATCCCACAGTAGAAGGTTACCTGTGATGTGCTGTTATAATAAAGGTGATCAACTGAGGAATAACTTTATTCTATCATGTGCTGAGTGAAAGGAGAACATTTTCCCGTTCTTCAACCTGCCTTTGCCATGCTATGATAATGTGTCTTTAAAGAAAACTGATGAAGAGGTGTGTTTTATTTTGGAGCCATATCTGGGTATTTTGCTGTGTTAAGGCTTTTTAAATAAGATTTTTGAAAAAAAGGTATCTTTATATCTGCCCCTCACCTTGGACCTGGATCTGATGGTGACCAGCCCTAGTTTTCATGGGTGACATAATTTTATATCTCCCCATAGCTCCCGTGCATCTTCTGAGAGGTGTTATGGCTTGCTATTGACTAGATCAAAGGCATTTATATCAAAGGGAAATTATAGAAACAGCAACTGATTAGGCCATGATAGTTTGTGTCAACATTTGGGTCTTTCCTGAAATACAAGGTCAGAAGTTCCACTGATGCAGTTTATCAAGTCAGTATAGGAATCAGCTGGGAATTTGTCCAAAAGAACTAGGGTTTCTCTCAGCGCTGTCACTTAATTGGTCAGATATATCCACTGCCAAGCATACATATTTCATTTCACTAGGGGTCATGTTGCTAGGAAAATTGTGAATTGAGAAGAGTGGACCACTGTGACACCTACAGAAGAATTATGAAACATTTACATAATTTTGTTACTGTATTTCATGTGAATTTTACCATTTTTCCTCTTTAGCTATTTGGGTCTGCAGAATTATACATCATACTGGGGCCAGCCTGATCTTAGAAATTGCACAGGTGGGTATACTGATACTGATCTTTGGCTAAAGGAATAGTTTTGTAGAATTTGGTTACTGCTTAGTGTAAGGAAGTTACATTAAGGAAGAATATTCTCCTCCTTTCTGCTAAGTTGTTTAAAATCTTTCTAAAAAATCAGTTCAAAGTAAGCATTTGAACTCTGGGGAAGTGCACGAAGTTGAATTCAGCCCACCCATGAAAAGCTCTGGATACCAATTAATGAAATAAATCAAACTCTGCAGGTAATTTAAGCAAGAACAGAGGCAGGTGGTAGCTTGCCTCAATTTGTTGTTCAGATTCAGACAAATTTTTAAATGTTTCCGATGCATGTAGGTGCCAGTGGAAAGACTCCCACTCTCTTCACTGGGCTTATGATCAGACATTTTCAGATTTATTCGCAGTTTGCAAAATACCCCTTGATGTCATTCTGGCCTTAAAGGAGTAATAAAATAAATAGACAATTTTATGTCACCTTTTTTTAGTGCTAGAGCTAGTGAAGAGAATGATACTCCCACAAGTAAATCGAAACACTTACAGTAAGCTCCTGTTCTGAATTGCTTTCCTGGAGAAGCCCGTTTTTCTTTCTCCTCTCATAGAGGGGTCTTAGGGAGCCTGGCTGCCTAACTTAGTTGATTGAGTACTTGCAGTCAGGCAATATGAAAACATCATTTCACATAAAATGAACATTCTACAGTAAATCTAGCAAAAGCTATATTAATAAAACACAACGTTCAAAAAAACCAGCCAGTTGCAGACTAAAGAGGGCTGATCTTCCTTCAAAATCCTTTTTGCAAATTCCAGTATACCTCAAATATTTTGATATTGTAAAATGTTACTGTTTACATTAGTTTGTGGCATCAAACGTACAGTTTAACACATGCTTTACAATAATGTTCTGCCATTGGACACACTCTCAAACTTTCCTTACCAGGAAGATTCTTCTTATGAAATTTGCTTGTGTGTTATGCTTGCCAACCTTCTGAGTAAGAGTTCAGTCCTCTGAAGGAACTGAAACATTTACAGTGGGGTCATACTTTCTCCCCGAAGCTTAAGAGACTGAATATTTAGTCAGTAATAGTGACTTTGGATGCATTTGTTTCACTTCAAGAGTTAAACTGTTTTTCCCAGTTTAATAACAAAAAAAAAAAAAAAAAAAAAAGGGGAAGAATACAGAGAAGAAGCGAGAAAATTTGCTTTTTTTTTCTGGTTTCCAGTCAGCCCATTCAATAATAGTTCTGATTTACAAACGCAAATGAAACTAAGGAAAAGAAAGACACAGCCAATGAGGACAGTATATATTAATCAGCAGATTCTATATAATTTTTCAAAATTTTATAAATTTGGTAAAATTCTATGTTGATTACAAGTACCACAGAACATGTTCTAGCTTTCAACAACGAGATTAAAAAATTGTATTTCTGAATTACTTCAGGACTGAGATGCATTATTTTCTCTTCTTACACCATTTTACGTGTACACTTACAGAAAATGCAGCTGATATAGCCAATCAGCTTCTGAATCTCACTGGTGAAGGGCAGCAGCTAACCTCAGACAAAGTAAATGATGTTGTGCAGAAGCTCAAAAAAATTGTGAATGATGAAGAAATCGATGAATCTCTGGGTTCTACCGTGGTGACAATTTTTTCCAATATTCTAACCAGTTCAGACAGTGTATTGGCAGCATCATCTTCAGAGTAAGTATTTCTGCATTTGAGACAAGCTTTTGAGACCAACCTGAATGTTGGAAGGATTCATCCTCCCATACATATGCAGTACAAAAATCAAACTTTTCTGATTTTCATCAAAAAGAATTTTTCAAATTAGATTTACAAATATTTCTTCTTGTACTAAAATTGATGTGCATGACAAAGATAAAGTATTTGGATGGAAAAGAAGCCTCCTGATACATGATACAGCATTGATCTAAGTATTGTTGGAAAATTTATGATAAGTAGCCAGATAGTTTCTGTCAATCAAAAGCTTTTGTTTTCAACAGAGATGCATAAATTTAGAGCCTGACAGTCTCCTTGTGAATACACAGATGGGTTACAGAAACATAGTCAATAATAAGATCATCTTAAACGTTAAGAGCATACAGAGCATAGTGGTTTTATTCCTGTATTCAGTTTTTAGAACAATTTTATTTCTGGTTTTAGAGCTCTAAAAACTATTGATGCCTTGGCTTTAAAGATCCAGTTCACTGGACCATCCATGAGTATTTCAACACGAAACCTTGCACTTGGAGTGTCTTCTATAAACTCAACTTCATTCAAAGGTGGTTCTTTCAGTGTCAGTCCACAGAACAATGCATCTGATTTCCAGGTATGGAACAAGCAGTTGTATTTGAATGTGAAATGTGCCTGTTGTTTCAAGTGTGTTTCCTGTGGTTCCTATAAAACCACTTACAACTCTGAATTCTTCCCCTACTTTCTATTTCCTTTTTCCAGCAACCGTCCAAACAGATTAATGTAGTATTTCCTTAAGTGACAGGAAACCCAGATAAACTCACATGTTCCGTATGGATGAAAAGTAATTTGCTTACAATCTAGAACAGGCTTTCTTTTTTTTTTATAGTTTGGTTTTTTTCACTAATGAAAAGGGAAAATAATCTTTAACAGTCTGCTGTGTTACCCATTGTACACTAGCTAACAAGTCCTTTGATGCATTTCAGCTTTAGAGTAAGATGACTAAACATAGGTATCTACATCTGGATTTCTGCAGATACAGTAGGTCTTCAACCTTTCAGTATAGTTTAAACACCTACTGCTAACAGAGACCTACAGCTGATCCAGTTGTCCACATATGGGTTGATAAGCTTGTGCCATTTGGGATGTCCGAGGCAGTTCAAGACATTTATGTGAAGTTTGACTAACCTAGACATGAAAACCAAAAGAAACACAGAGCACTCAAAATGCGGAATGGTCTCCAGTGCTGCAGCCTCTAGACAGGCTGCTATAGTTAAGATATATTTTATCACCTCAGAAATATTTTTTTCTTCTTTTTTTCACAAATATGAAAGCTGAGACATCTAAAAACTGTGAAATAGCATCTGAGGTGCACATGAGCACCTACTGGGATATTCCAAAGGTTCTGTTGAAATCAGTAGCAATGCGGTGCCGAGACTTTTTCGATTTCACTGTGTGCCTGTCTGCTTCTTATGGCACCTAAATGCTTTTAAAAATGTAGTGCAACGTGGTTTTTTCACAGTTATATAAGAAGTCTACAACAAAGGTAATGTAATCTCAGTTTTCTAGGAGTGTAACCATTCAAATACAGCGAGCCTTACTTGAAGATACATACAGAAAAGATTAAATGAAAAATAAAAAAGCTGCTATTGTTTGGACCAGAGGAACCAAATCTGAATCCAGACAACACATGGCATTATGAAAACAGTTAAAGACTGATCACTAGAGTATAAGCATCTTATGGAACTAAATTAATCCCTGCTGCAAATTGGCAAGACAACAATCGTAATAAATGTCTGATCATTTTGTAAAGTACTATGCACTGTAAAAATCAAAAACAGTAATGAAGACAGTGCTATAAAAACTAGTAGTAATATGATAGACTGCAGGCCTCTTATGTGCTGTGTATATAGACTTTGGATCATATCTCAGATGCTAGTTCAAATAGATAAAATGGATTTAATGTAGTTGAGATTTCACATATTTATATTCATAAACATTTTGGCTAAATTTTCTTGGAGTCAATTTTATTAGAAATTTTTGATGGTACTCTACTTTTGTTTAGCTCTCTTATTAATGAAGCTCAATAGCTGATTGTTCTTTGATTGTTATCAAAGGAACACTTCTTCTCCAGATTTCATCCTTTGTACTTATGGAAAGAGGAAAGGAAAAGTTCTGAGGTCAGGTTTGGGATGTTCGCATGTATAATAAGAATTACCATCTGTGGCTTGAGGACATCCAGGAATTTTCTTGCCCTGGAATCATTTATTACAGCACTGTCTAAATAATCATAAAATCCAAACTCCGTCAAATTATTTATAATGTTCCTATTGGAACATGAGTTTGTTCTCAGACTTTTACATTTCCAACAGCTGATTGAGAATTCTTAGCATCCTTCCTACCAGAGAAGTGCAGCAGCTGTGGTCACCATTTATATTTTCCATGCCTATCAGGAAAGATACTTGCTGTCCCGGCTGAAGGGAGATTCCCTTGTGAAAGCCCAGGTTTTTCACCAGTGATGTGATGATCTGTCCCAAGCTCATCAGGGAGCATTAAACTCTTCAAGCTCTATGTCAGAATGTTTCCAGATTTTATTTCGTATTTTTTTTATAAAGTAGATATCAAACAAATGTATCCATGGCAATGTGGAAAGATTCTATTTCGGTCCCCTGTGTCTTTATATTTCTTGCCAAACCTTTGACTAAGTTAGCTTTGGGTGATTCATATTATTAAATTGTTCCTGTAATAGATCCACACGTCTTTATAGAAGCCTCTTCTACTCTATTTGCAGACAATACCTAATGGGATGTCTTTATCACACACACACTTTCTGTTTAATGTGCCAGAATTATCCTTTGAAAACCTTTCATTCAGCTGCATTTAGCCCTGTCAGGAGATAGCTATGAACCACTTCTTGCTAATTTCAAACAGTGACTATTATTCACAGTAAATCAGTGAAAATTCAGAAGTGAAATAAGTCTATGAGTAGCCTATAGCTTTTAACTTTCTACTAGCTAATGGTGCTTTAAGGATCGTACGACTGATCATGAAAAGCGTAAATACATGACCAAATTGCCTCTGGAGAAGTCAGGAGTGTGAGTTTCCTCGTCTCACAGTAAAATTCTTGAATGCTTTTACTATAAAGCCACTGTGAGCTGGCTTGCTCCTGTTCCTTTGGTGGGTAGGGTGGCACACCTTGAGTATGCCGTGGTGGGAGAGCGTGCAGTCATAGAATTGCTGCCTGGTAGCTAATGAAATGCAAGTTTGCATCCTGACTTACTTGCTGCTCACTTGATACATCTCTGTGCCATAGAGGGCTTTCAGCTGACATGTTGCCTGTATAGTTTAAGCTTATACTGATGGCAGAAAGTGTCTTTTTTGTGCTACATAGCACGATAAATGTAGAGATGTGATACTAATTATTACTGAACTTCCCTTCTGTGACAGAGAAACTAGAAAGGCGCATAAGAGAATTAATTCAGATGTGCAGATGAAGCCAAATAATAAAACTCAAGAAAGAAGGATGAAGAGCATATTTTTCAGTTCTCAACATTGTTTGGTATGAGGAAAAGTATCTTGAAGGTTACTGAAAATTATTATAACTGCTATTATTGTCATCTTACTATTTCCAGAACATCATTAGAGCAGTGGAGGAGTTTGTTTGTTTGTTTGTTTGTTTTGTCTAATACCTTCCTGTAGCATAAGGCTGATGTCATGCTGGAAGGGTGGGAAAACCTTCTAAGCTTTATTTATTTATTTATTTATTGCATCAACTCTTACATAGATACAGGTCATATCAGTGTTTATTGGTTCTAGTCCCATGTTTAGATATCTTTGTGTAAGGGTGTGAACCCATTTGTGGACAATAAATGGTTTGGTTTTATTTGAACATGTTCTTCTGTTTATTTAACAGATAGATTTTGACAAGGATCAGACAAATGCCTTTGCTTCTGTCGTTCTGCCACCAAGTTTACTGAAGAATTTAAGTCAAGAGGAGTTTGAAGTTATATCCAGGGCTCAATTTACTTTCTTCAATAAAAACGGTCTTTTTCAGGTAAACTGTAATGTGTTTTAAGTAATTTCAGTTCGGGTAAGTCAAAGGCAGCTGATAAAAGTTTTTTTGTAGTGTAATCATTTCACAGCATCTCATGAGTTATAGGAATGAGAAGGTGATAGGAGATGTAGGCACTAGAGACAGCGTTATGTTCAGAGTGACAAAGTAGACAAAGTGCCGAAGTTGAATTGAAGTCAGTGATTTGACTGCAAAGTACTGTCACATGCAAGACAAACTTTTTCTCAGGGTAATCTGTGGAAATTTGGATCCCAGCTGCTTATAATCAAAGTAGCAAGGCCATTTAAAGGGCTTAACATCTGGTAAAATGCATTAATATAGGTCCTTGACGCTCAATGGAGCCGGGTTCTTGTCTATCAGAAGGGAATTTGGCCTATAGCACTGCCAAGCCTATTTCTTTCTCTTTTTACTGAAAAGAGTTCATTAGCACTCGTGTCCAGCTGACTACTTGTATTCAGTTGGAAACTGGGCTGATGGTCATCAGCCAGAGAACATTTGTTTCTATTCATACTATTCTTCTTTTCATAGATGTGTTCTTGTAAGCATACTGTCTTTTAATACAGAATATGGATAACAATACTTGAGTCTGAAAACTAAAGGGACTCAGGTAGATTTGATTTTTTTCTCCTCTGGGTCCCATGACGTGGTAATTTTAAATAGTTCCTGCACAGCAGATGCAAAAAATTAGGAAGAGTTTGAAGCTTGGAGAAAATGACTGAAAACATACCTATTTTGAAAAAAAAAATCAGTTAATTATTAAGAAAACATTGTTTCATAGTGAACTGTAGACTAAGCCTCAGAAGACTTGAGTTTGTTTTCCCATTAGTATTTCAAGTGACCTTTGGCTCTTGTGCATCCGCAGAACTCTGTAGTATTGTGTTGTCCCTATATTACCGTTTTTATTGGCAGTGTATCCAGATTCTTCAGATAATCTAGGCAAGAAAATACCCATGACCCACAGTTGCCTTCTGAAATACACTCCGAATTATCTTCAGCTATTTAAATTAGTACTCATTTTAAGCCAGCTTTTGAGAAAAACAGGATGGATGTATTTAATAAAGAAACCAGAGGAATATAGATGTAGGCTTGTCACAATGGCATAAAATCATGCAAAGTCAGAATGTGACCTTTAATGGTGCTAGAATGTGTTTCTAAGGGATACTTAATAAGTCATTGAAAAGTGAAAAACAGGAATATTTGTATCTAAATTTGCAACTAGAATTCTTTCAATTTTTTGGTGTTTTTCAAAGTATTCATGGGTGACATGTTCAACACAATTAATTCAAAATGCATAAAACTCACATTTTAGTGTCTAAAAATAAATAAATAAATAAATAAAGGCTAAAAATAAAACCTAAAAATAAAACCTGAAAATAAATTGATCCACATGCCGTCTTAAATGGAATAACTTTATCCATTAGTATAAGAGTATTTCATAAATGTATTTATTCCAATTGCAATTTAAAAAAATCGTAATGCTATTAGCTGTATTTCTTATACGCATGCAATGCAACAGTGAAACATCATACCTCACAGCACTAGAGGGTTTTTTTATTGCAACTGAGAGAATGCTAGTAAGTTAATCCTGTCATTCATTAAAATCTGATGGTTACATTACTTAGAAGACTGTATGAAAAATTAATGTAAGATGCCAGGGTAGGATTCATTTCGCCGAAGTCAGCTGTATTCAATGTACATACCTATGCCAGAACTGTTGTCCATAAGTTGCCTTCAAAGCTGGTCAATGGGAAAGAATGGACACCACTGAGGTGTGACACATCTCATCCTAGTGCAGGAGGAGGCATCTGTTCCTCAGGCAAAGACTGTAGTGCGATTTGAGACACCCCAAGGTACAAAGGTACTACTGGCAGACACACGTGACGATGAACATGTAAGAGATGTGAGATCTTCTGCAGTAGCAACTGGAGACTGGGCAGGATACCTTAAAATCTCTGTTTTTTGGTGACCTGTGTTTGACCTAGAATAGAATAGGTAAGATGAATTATTGATCTAGAATAGAATAGGTAAAATGGATTATGCCCTGGATGTGCCAGCTTCCTTTCACTTAGTATGTTAAGAAACCCTAGAATGGCTACTTGAGTTCTAGACATCTTCTTTTTACATACCTCAAGTTAGGTTGGAAGGGTCATCCTCATGAGTTCTGAGGCCAAGAAAATAGTGTGCAAATATGATAAATATGTGAATCATAATGATTGTCTAGACTAGACCAGATTTCTGTCATTGATACTAGTCTCAGCATTTCTTTACTTTGTAGCTCTGTATATTTTATTGGCTAAAAGCTTACCCCTAACTTTAGCTGAGCACAGCCTTACAGCTAAATAAGCAGTTATCTGTATTTTACTTTAATGCACACATTATTTGTATTCCTTTCTAAAGACAAGTAAGAATATATTAAATTGCCTTCCCTAAAGAGACCGTCTGATATTTATTTCTAGTTTTTGTTATCTGCTAGAGACAGAATCCACTGAAACCCATAGAAATTTGTCCAAAGGCTTTCATAGACTTTGTCAGATGTTGAAACTTAGGTAGTAGCTAAGAGGTTTTCATTTATTTGATTGCTCAAGAGCTGTCTAGAAAACCATGTTTTCATTCCTCTGCAATTTCAAAGTTTTTAGGATATTATGTCACAAAGCTCCAGTAGAATCTGAAATACTGTGTTTGAAAACTCTTGGATGTGGTTGTTAAGAAATGAAATCTTCTTCTTAGGATAATGTGCACTTAATAATTGAAGCTGTTCTGTCTCTCATGAATAGTGGGATCTCATGAGCCCAGTGCTGAGCTGATGCCTGACATCTTGTCAGGCTAACAAAGCCCCTAGACTGAAGGAATCAGGGGATTCAGGAGTCTGGCAGCCCCAATTTTTGGAGGGAAAGTGAGTGGCAACAGACTTCATTTGACCTAAAATCTGCCACAAGCAGTGACCAAGCTTCCCAGCTTCCTGTAAGGCCAACCAGGCATGTAACTATGCAAGTTTCAGTGGAAGCTCATCAACAGAAAATAGTACTTCCAGAGCACTTCCATCACAATAAATCATTAGTTTCCAAGGAAAACTTCTCTTTTGGAAAATTCTCAACCTGGTACTTTTTCACTGCAGGTTAGAAATGGCATTGCTCAGTGATAATGTCAGTCTTCTATTTAAATTTTCCATCAAACAGACCTTGCAGAAAATGCCTCCTACAGTATGTAACATTGCTTTGAATTTGTTTACTACTGCTTAGTCAGTCATTGTAAGATGGAGGATGGTTTAGCAACTATACATAGAAAACAGGTTATTCTCCAAAAACTTTGCATCTGTTAAAAAGGATAGCATCGACAATAAAATAAGAAAGCTAGTTCATTCTTGTCTGGGGAAGTGAGCTAATCATGTCACGGATTGTTATCTGCTACATTGTTTGAGTTACAATTTTGTTGGCATCAGACATAATGATTAAAAGGGGAATGTATGCCTTCTAACCTCTCTCTATAATTGTGCCTATATGTGTTTATGACTATAAGGAAAATAGGGAAACTTCAATGAGGCAAACACATAATTTGATTTTATAAACATAATGTTCTTATATTGCTTGATCAAAAGTGTAGAAATGCTGACAAGTTATTTATTCTGGCACACTGCAGAAATGAGACTGTGCACTCTGACTTTTATGTTATGTGCTGTGTAAGCATTTATTGTATTTTTCTGAATCTTTCAAAGGATGCAGAAAATCCTGCCAATTTGACCAGTTTTGTAGTGGCATGCAGTATTGGAAACATAACCATTCAGGATCTTCCAGATTATGTGAAGGTTACAATTAGGCATACCAAAATACAGGTAAGACAAGACTGATTATTCAGAGGAACAGGAATGCAGATTATATACAGTAAAGGCTGAGCATATAGCCTGATTTATTTGGGTGGATTTTGAGTAAGGACATAAACTCAGATGGAAATAAAAACTCCAGAACAAAAGCAAGTAAGCAACAAGTAAAAACAAATAACCTCTCCCATCCTCACACATTGCTGCTCCAGTCATGATCTAACATTTATCTGAAAGACTATTGATTGTGCTACTCAGAGGCAATTTCTGTTCCAATAACTGTAGGCAAAACCAACATTCATGACCATGTTTGTGACCAGTGACCAGGGACACTATTTATTACACTGGAACTTTAGAATTACTAAATTCTTTGATCAAACATGAATTGCTTTGTTAATAGTTCCCCAAATTCTTTTGTTGTTATGTGGTTTTCAGCAAAGGAAGAATGGATAGAACCACACTTTTAAAAGATGACAGCAGTTCATTTAGGGAAATGCAGAACAAATGCAACCTTTTGGCACATACTGTTTTAGTTAAAAAATGGATGAGCTTGATCTTTTCTCAGACATGTTGCCAGTAGCTACCTCAAAAGAGAGACAACAGCCCTACAGGAGTTAAGCAAGAAGATGAAGACGTTAAAATGCAATACCTAAGTAAATTGTTTATGTAATGAGAGCCTGGTTTGTAATTTTTACAATCCAATTAACTTTTCCTTACATTTTTGTAATGATTATTTTAAAGTCACACAAAACAACCTCCACTTTAGATTTTGTAAAGACATCATACTCATCAATAACTTTAGTGAGACAATAAAACTTCATTATTCTGATGACTGGGAAAAAGAACAGTGCAGAGGAACAGTGCTCTAGATTTTATAATGTGGGCAGATGTGTCCTTCTAGCAGAGTAAATACTAATTTGACACTAGAGAAAATTTCAAAAATCCAAATAATATTTATTCTTCTACTTATTAAGTGAAAAGATATGTAGTAAAATAGCTGTTCTAAATGTATATGTTGATGAGATGTAGGTCTGAATAGGTATAAAAGGTCTACTTTTAATATGTTCTTAGGAAGATCCTAAGCCTACCTGTGTCTTCTGGGATATGAATAAAAATGGTAAGTTTAAAAATGCTGTCATTTCTTTTATGTGGGGAATAAAGGTGTCTAAGTTTTAAAATCAGTCACAGTCTTGCCTCTTTTTGCTTGTTAATCAGTCCTTGCAGAATTAGGTGAAATATTCAGACTATGTCACTTCTAGTTAGTAAGGTCACTTGTAACAGCGGGTGTTAAATATTCTTATTAAAAGTTTTGTACATAAATTTGATTAACACTTTAAATTTGTAAATAGTTTTTCTACTTTTCTGTATCTGATAGCAGTTTTTCACTGATCTGTCTGCATACGCAAATTAAATAGTAATTCTAATCAGACACAGGAATGGTTCTTAGCCATGCTTTTAACTGACCGTTTTAAAAATGTTGGGTTATTTAATTGTGAGATTGTGCCTGTTACAAAGCTTAAGGTGTTTTATCTTCCATGGAAGGTTAGAAACTATATTATGCAAACTTCATTTAGGCAGAGACACAACATGCATCGTGTAAGGAGATGACAGTCTCCACAGTGAGGTCCCGTATGGAGACACATATTAACAGGGCTTTTTTTTTAGCTCATTCTTCATTGCTACTGCCTAACTCGTGTGTGGTGTTAAACTCAAGCTCTTCATCCTTTGCCACAGACAAAGCTGTTCTCTGGGATGACTTTCCAGATCATTCTATTTTAGAGATCACTACTGAGATGTTACTTTGCCTTACCGTGAAACAGAGATAGAGCAAAGAACTGTCCTTAGCAGTAGGATTTGAGGTGGAGGTGTTTAGTACAGAAAGTCTTGCAAGAAATAAAATTTACCATAAAAGTTGTAGCTGAAAGCAGGAAATTAAGACAGAAGAACTGAGAAGAATGCAGAAGGATAAAAATAGCAAAAAAAACCCCAAAAACTAGGAAGCCAAACTCAAAAAGCACATCAAAGGAGAAACACAGGGAGGAATTCTCAGTGGCTGCTCGAGTAGGGGAGAGTTTTAAGTGGTTTTGTAACCTCTTCACAGTCTTTTGAGAGATTCTGTCTTGAATTTGAGGTAAAGTTACAGGGTCAGGCAGATAATTTGCTGAGTTTTGCCTGGAGTTGTGCAAAAATGTCTTTAAGACTTCAGAGAATATGAACGATTTCACAAAATTTGTTCATATTTTAGCAGGAAAAAATTAAAGGAGAAGTAATCAGAAATACAGATTTTACCTTTTAACATTTTTTTTTTAAATAAAATCTTTTTATTTGTCTTTCGGAATGGCCTTTTCAGGTGGGGTGAGGGACTCTTTATTTCATGCTTTTACATAAGGCCACAAAGGATAATTGGGATTATCCTCTCTGACCTTCTGCATTATATGCTGCAGAGAGGAAGGGACCCTCTGCTCCTGGGCCATAAATGCTTTCATGTACCTGGGGATATGTGAGTAGGAGGGAGGCAGGTGCAGATACTGCATCAGTGTGCTAAAAAGGAGTTCTAAAACCATCTTACTGTTGGGTAAAACTAAGGTGTGTGTTAATGCATGATCCACATAGTAGGTCTTACTCATCCCTTATTAACCAAAAAGCTCCTTACCTTTATTATAGATCTCCATCTATTGCCTCTGCTCAGTAGGCCGTTACTGGGACACTCATCTGGTGTGATTCTCTGCAGGCACTAGGAAATCTGACACTTGCTTCTTTCCTGATTGTTATAATGTTCACCCGTTGAACATGCGCTTGAGAAAGCACTTCTGCATTTGCACAAGGTGAAGTGAGAACTCTGTTAAAAGAGAGTGTGACATGAGTTTGTTGGGAAGTATGGTTTCTCCTATTTGATTTCCACAGGTGGCAGTGGTGGCTGGAACCCTGCAGGCTGCCAAGTGGATGCAGAGTCCAATGAAAATGAGACCGTTTGCTTGTGCAACCACCTCACACACTTTGGGGTCCTAATGGTAGGCAAACTCACTGTTCACAAAGTTACCTTTCCTAGGAACTGCAATGCAGTTTTTGTCTTGGGTCAAGACAACTTTCATTTTTGTTGCTTGGGTCAGTCCTTTTGCACATGAGTTTTAATAATAATGCATCATTTTCCCCCTTATTGTCATAAAATTACCTTTTCATAACAAAATAGCTAGTGATAAGGATTCAGGAATGAGGTAATGAGTAAAGTTAGTAATGAAAGTATATTATTATTATTATTATTATTATTATTATGTTTATTACAAGTGGCTAAATATTATAAAATAAAAAGTAAAATGTGCCTATAAGAGTATGCTAAATTTTGAAAATACCTGGGCTTAAGACTTCTGAGCAATACCAAAATACAAATAGCATATTATAGCATCCAGCTTCAAACTGGGACATGACTGGTTGAAAAAAAAGTCAGGGACTGTAAAACCAAGGCCCAGTACTAACACTTCCACTAGCAAAATAGAAAAAATCAATCTTAACGTGTCCTACAGTGCAGGGAGTCCCTGTCATTTCCCTTAACAATGTGATCTGATGAAAATGACCTGCAGCTGAGACAGGAGGGTGAAACAAGAGGGAAGTGAATGAGAAACAGGTCTAGGTAGATTTGAAACTTCAACATCAGGAAAGTGGGAAGTTGTTGGCAGAAAAAAAAAAAAAAGAGAGGTTCATATTGTCAGAGAAAACAGTAGAGAAAGAAAAACGTCCTACAGTCAGTAAAACTGCTACTGAGGGTGAGAAGTCAATGGAGCCCAATAATTTGCTTTCTTCCTGAGATTCAAGGGGCTAAATTGTCCCTTGCAAATTTACGTTGCAGATCTGACAAGATTTATATTTATCTAATGTCAAAAAGTATAAAGCAGTATCTTCTTTTGTGAAATGCGCAAACCCCTATTTGCTGTTTTCTTATAAATGCCTTTAATCAGCTTTGGGGATGCCTTGCAGTGCAGACCTTCTTTTGGAAAAAGTCTGCCCACTGAGGGCTGGTACAAAATGTATAACCAGTACTCTGTCACAGCCTAAAGCGAAGTGTCCAGTCTGGGTGGCTGAGATAGGTAGAGCATAGCCTGTCAGGAAGATGAAAGAGGGAACTGTATAGAGCACTTCAGCCTCAGTAGCGTAATTCCTGTAGCATTCAGGTGCCTCCAGTAATGTTTTTGAGAAGAAATTTCCAACATGAAAAAGATGGAATACTGATGTCTTGTCTTAGCATTTGGTGATTTTTTACACTCAGTAATGGGATGAAATGTTTCTTTCCATCTCAGATTAACATTCTTTGGTCTCTGAAACATACCTGAAGAAATTTCGTTTGCTCCTGATCACTGCAATGCTGTAGAAGTATTTGGGTTTTGATTTAATTTGTTGCAGTGACACACAGGACTTAACTGCACAAGGAAGCCACATGCACTGACTTTTTCAGCTTTGGCCTTCCAGAGCCTTCTTAATAGAGCTGCTCTCTTCACGTCATGCTCAGATGTAGATATGAAAAAGCTGCAAGCTTTTTGTCTTTTTGCAATCTAAATTGTGGTCTTGTTTCACTTTTCATCCTCGAAGGGAGAAAAAAAGGGCTTTCTTTAGGATATATTCAATGAGTCCCTTATCTTTCCCGAGTGCGTTTGTGGCAGTAGGAAATAAGGCAGAAGTTCTTTGAATTTGGGCTGTGTTCCAGTAGATTTTTACACAGTTTTGCCCCATTTAGTTTCTTTTACATTTGAATAATCTTTGGTGACTTTAATTTAGCTATTAAATTATTTTCAAATAACACTTTCCTTGTATATATAAACTATAACATAAGGTTGGGACAGGGTGTGAGAAACTGCATACAGCTCCTTCCTTTTCCTATGAAGAATGGCAAGTTCTGTAGCATTTTGTTGGTTTCTTTTTGATACAGAGTTTTGCTAGGGACAACAGTTACACTGACTACACTGACTGTAGAATAGACACCATTATATGTTAGTATTTGCGCACATTTACTCCACAGTGATATAGATCCAAACATTCTCGTTTTTTCTTGTACTTGAAAAAGGAAATAACACTGGCATTTATTCTCAGACAGTACTATGTGGCAATTACAGTTGGACAGAAAGCTGGAAAAAAAAATCCTCAGAATGTTCCTGCTTCATTTCCATTTTTTTTTAAATGTTGTCTTTGTCACTATTTTTCTGACCAATTCTATTTATAACTGCAGTTTTCATGTCAAAACAGACCATAAAACCAAAAAGCAATATCTTGCCCTTGGTTTCACCAGCAGATGATTAGCTACATTGACTCTTATGAGCTTTCAATAATGAGAAGTGATGTCACAAACTCCCCAGAATGTTGCACATTTCAGTATGTATAGTTTTAAGTTACATTTTCAATACACATACAACATAAACTTCTATTTAAATAGAGCTGGCTATAAGCAACTGAACTAAAAAGTTTGAAAAGGGGAGATTTTTCTAGCGAAGGACATTTGCATTGCTGTTACTGAATTAGAAGGATCAGTATTGGGTTCAGTTTATCTGCTGATGCCAGCAGTTATAATACTTAAAGTACAAAGTTTTCAAGAGCTATGGGAAGGAAGTGAGAGGTGTAACGACTGTAGACTAAGTATACTTAGTAAACATGAACCCTAATGTCAGGGTTATAGTGGTATTGCCAAAGTGCTTTTGAGTTTTACTGGACTGATTATCAAGTGTTGTGCGCATGGAAAAGGTGTTTGCTATAATTGATGCCTCTTCCTTCTCTCTCATGTAGGACCTTCAGAGAACCGTTACACAAATAGATCCACAAAATACCAAGGTCCTCACCTTTATCACTTACATTGGCTGTGGGATATCTGCTATATTTTCAGCTGCAACTCTTCTGACATATATTGCATTTGAGTAAGTATTAGCTCTGTGAAAAGCATCACAAGGGAAGTACCTGTGTGTGATGAATAAAATAAATTAGTTATAGGGCTGGTATGGTTTATTTGTCTAGGAAGGGGAATCCATGTTTAAAAAAAAACCTGCAAAATCATGGTCACAATGTTGTAAGTGGAAATTTTTTTCAAGGGGAAGTAAGTTCAGATTTTTTCCTCCTGTTTCCAATGTGTTGTGCTGCTCAGGCCTGGGAGCAAGGCTAATGTGTCTCAAAATTTTCTCTTTCCGGAGTACAGTGTCCTCTAGATTCTGAACAGATGTAAATTATTTTGAAATCTACAACCAGGCTTTTTGTGAAAACAAAACAAAACTTAGCCATGTCAGCATAACAAGTCCTAAGTATAAGAAGAGAAATTTCCAACTAGAACAACTGCATTCTAGAGCCCTTCAGAAAGAAGTGGGAAGAGAAATAAAATGAAGATAAATTGTGGATTGTTTTAAGAATCTCAACAGCAGTCTTACTGAAATGTGCAAGTGACTCAAGGGAATGCAAAAGTTTTGAAGTGATACGGTTCTGCGAACAATGAAAAGAGAAAATGAAGTCATGTCAACACAAAGAAACCATTCTGCCTGTAACTGGACGGGACAGAGTAGCTGCTAAAGAAGGATAGTTTGCTGGGGGGGGGAAGGGGGTTTTCAAGTGCTAAATATCTCCAATGATTACATTCCTATTGCATTACCTATGGTATAGTGTTCTGGTCCAGGATGGCAAAAGTTGGCTTGCCCCTCAGTTCATACATTTCAATGTGTATCAGTTAAAAAAAGAAAACTTGATTTTCTGTCTTCCTAAGATCCTATTAAAAAAAAAAAAAAGAAATAAAAAACAACACGCACTGGACAATATATTCCAAAAATTAAGCAAAGATTTACATACAGAATGATCAGAGGTGAGCTTCTGGTCACCTGTATTTTGAAAGTGTTCTTTCAGTTTTCTTCAGTTTTCATCTAAAGTACAAAACACATTGTATTATATTTAATTTGAAAGGTTTTTAATAATAAACCAGTTGCCAAAATACTGTGGCAGTTAATTAGCTCATTAAGGACCCAGAGAAGTAGTAGCTTTCCCCCGCCACATACAGCAGAAACCTTCAGTGATATCACACAGAAGTACACATCACTAATGCCTTATTGCCACAAAAGCTTACATCTAGAGTGACATCCCTGTGCTTTTATTTACTTTCAAAACTGGTAAACCCAGCTGCTGTAAGCAACTTGGGTGATTGAAGGTAATTAATCAGGTACATCTGTATTTCTCTCATCAGGAAGTTGCGAAGAGATTATCCGTCCAAAATCCTGATGAATTTGAGCACAGCCCTGCTCTTTCTTAACCTGATCTTCTTGCTTGATGGTTGGATTGCGTCATTTGACATAGATGGCCTCTGCATAGCTGTTGGTGCACTTTTGCACTTTTTTCTTCTGGCCACCTTTACGTGGATGGGACTAGAAGCCGTTCATATGTACATTGCTCTAGTGAAAGTGTTCAACACCTATATACGGCGATATATACTGAAGTTTTGCATCATTGGCTGGGGTGAGTTCAGTAGATGCAGTATTTACATAGCATGTATTTTGAAATGATGCTATATAAAAGCTCTCTGTCACAAATACAGAGTAGAACCAAAATCAGTGTGCCGTTTGCTTCCCCGCAACCCGTGACAGGGCCGGCGTGGAGCCAGCCTGCTCTGTTCCCCTGTATAATTCTATGCAAATACAGCATAACTGCCACTGTCTGCCTGGAGCACCTCACAACCTGAGGAGGACTGGAGAGACCAGATAAACTGGTCTTACTTTCCACAGAGGCCAGCATGGGAGAGGGGAAATGTTAGTGTCGTATCAGAGGTGAAGAACTTTGGCACACAGTGAATTGAGAAACTCTTGCAGTTACTACAAAGCCTATGGGGGACCTTTGCGTTGGCTTTGAAAAAGCTTTCACTCCATCTTACAGTTTCTTGCTGACAAGTAGAAAGCTTATAGCAGAATCAGAAACAACTAAAATTTCCTGAGCTTCATCACAGTGTTTAAACCACAAAGAGATCCTGCCTCCCCTAAGCAGTGTACACTGCAGGACTGAAATGGAAAATGTAATACTGAAAAATAACTGCAAGGCTCGGGCAGCAAGGCTTTTATTCTTCATTTTTTTCTGTATCAGGAATCTGTGCCTTCTGCCTGAATGCACATATTGTGTTTGAAATAATACAACACAATAGAAAACCATTAACCTCATGGCTAGAGCACTGACCTCAGTCCAGCTGATAATTGATGTCTTTCCATTGGCAACTAGCATCCAATTTGGCAACCTCAGCAGAGGACAAGGACTGAGTGGTCGGAAAAGCAAATTAACCTCTTCCCCTTTGAATCTGTTTTGTCATAGCAAGGATAAGACATGTAAATAAGGCATGTCAGGAAACATACGTTTCTTTTGTGTAAGCTGTACCTCTCTGCACGAAGTTCTATTGTGCATAGTTGTTTGTTATTTTCCCAAAATATTCCCTTCGTATTAAAAATATATAGTTTACTTCATTTTTTTGGACACATTTAAGTAAAGGATATATAATACTGTAGAAAAAAAGAAGAGATTAACAGTTGAGAGAAGCAGTGGAGAAATTACAGGTTCAAGTTCAAGTTCCCCAGTTCCCCAGCCTAATCAGGTCACATTAGCATCTCTGAAAAAAAATCCCTCAAAAAAAATCCTATTATCATCCCTCCATTAGATCTCATTTTTGTAATAGTTAACCTTCTCACTTTATTATGAGACCCTGTGCGCAAATGCAAATTTAACTTTGAATATTTAGGAGAGATTATTCTACTGTAGCTTTCACATCAGATACTAAAATAACGTTTTCTACCTTACAGAACATTATAAGGTTTATTCATTAATGCCCATTAAGCATTTTGAAAGTTTTATATATTTGTACTGTTTGAAAAATTGTTTTCTTCTACTTCTCTGTACAGTTTTCTGACATAGAACTACCTCAGGATACTCTGTACTAAAGCAGTAGCAATGGAGACATCAATAACTTAACTTTGCCTGGCGATTTTGAAGGTTTAGGAGATTTGAAAACAAACTAGAAGTTTTCTTGTGTTACAGGTTTGCCAGCTCTGGTGATAGCAATTGTTTTAGCAAGTGCTAATACAAATGCAATTAATGTTTATGGCAAAGAGTTATACGGCAAAGATGCTGACGGGCAAGGAGGAGACGACTTGTGAGTATTTCATTTAATCTCTGACAATTTAGCATTTACAGTCTGGAAAAAAAATTAGTCAGGTTGCTTTGGAAAAGTCAGACATGCATTAAACAAGCAAAATGGACAAAATTGCCTTCTAAATTATTTGAATCTGAAGTGTAAAGAAGGCTGTAAGAAAAATTGGAGGAAAAGCTGTGTTAGTCAATGCCAGGTGCCGACACTCCTCTGGAAAAAGAGTAATTCATAAGTTCTCTCATGAAAATAAAATAAAAATACCTGTTTTGGTTTATCTTAAATGAAAGCTAAGTCTTCTAGCTAAGCGCAAAGAAAGAAGTAATATAAAAACAGTGTCCTTTGTAAATAAACCAGCCTTTTGTAAATGTAGTTCTTTAGCTTTCTATGTTCCTCTCTTGATGTCCAGTTAATAACCTCCAAATGCCAGAATTTTTCTGTGACTCTTTTGTTACTTCATTTTCTGTTCCTTGCCTGCAACGCTTCATCATGATAAATAAAAATATCGTTCTGTATTTTTATTAAAGTATTATGTTAAGCATTCCGGCCATTTACTGCTAGAGGAATAAGCTAGATCTCTCACATGGGTGACTGTCACATGTCTGACTGTCAAATGGCTACCTCAAAGGACTACCCATCCTGCTTCTTCTCCAGAGCTCTATGAGTTCTCCTTTAGCTCAAGTGGCAGAAACTTGAGGTTTTGGCACTGCAGATCCAAGATTGCCCGCTCTGTTACTAAAGTGTCCTATGCTTCACACAGATGAAAGTGATGAAGGTACTCATACTTATGAGTCTAAAGTTTCTGTGATGGGATTGCAGTTCCCACAGCTTGTATCTGAGGTCAGATTTCCTTTTTAAATAGTTTTAACTAAAATATGGTACAACCCTCAGATTACTGACATGATACTAATATGTGCCATAGTCACACTTAAGATGTCACTGGGCTTCATCCTTTTTACAAGCAGCAAATAGACGAGGGTTTCATTTGAAAGTATAGCTCTGCATCAGTAGAATCAGACATAGACTGGTTTTCCTTGTAGTCATATAAATAATTGGAGGATAGTTTGCTTTATCTAAAAATGATCCGATTTTTGTACCTTTTTGCAGCTGCTGGATCAAGAATGAAGTTGTCTTCTACGTGACTTGTGCTGGCTACTTTGGAATCATGTTTCTGATGAACGTTGCTATGTTTATTGTGGTGATGGTGCAGATCTGTGGGAGGAATGGGAAAAGAACTAATCGGAGCCTGAAGGAAGAGATCCTGAGGAACCTCCGTAGCGTGGTCAGCCTGACCTTCCTCCTGGGCATGACGTGGGGCTTTGCCTTTTTTGCCTGGGGTCCCTTAACTCTTGCTTTCCTGTACCTCTTCTCCATTTTCAACTCATTGCAAGGTAAGCTGAATTTCTGTTCTGTGAAGAAATAATATTTGAGCTGTTGCTGTTCTGGGACATATTATGTCCGGTGGTTTGACCAGATAACTCAGATCCAAGCTTTCTGGATCTTTCCTTGATACTAAAACGTCTTTTTATGTGCCATAGTGATACCAACTACCCATGGTTTGAATATCTTAGTTAAATTAATTATTTTCAAGGTCTTTTCAATAAAATGCACTTTATTATAAATAGTACTATTCCTAACTAACAGTCTGCAGTGAACTCTGTTGAGATAGATGCTGTATGACTTTCAACATTTCCTTTCACTCATTATAACAAATATAGGAAGCATCTTTCCTTAATTTATTCCTGTAGGGAATCTGTGAAGCTCGTAATTATTTTATTAAGGCATGAGAAGGTCATAGAACAAAATTCAGTCCTGTTTCAGTGCAGAGGGACAGCACAGGTATATAGGATATTCTTTAAGGAAAATTCAGCAACTGTTTTAGTCAGCTTATTTTTGTTTCCTTACTGAAGTTCTAAATATTTTACTTTTCCAACATAGTTCATCCTTCTGAAAAGTGCTATAATTGTATCAAATGGTTATAAATTACGGAAATATGTAGCTGACATTTAAATAATTTCAGCTCAGAGCTGAAATCTACGTATGTACCAAATGACATAAGAATCTCCACCTCCGCTTGCCCTACTCGCTAATAAAGACCAAGTAAAAACATAACAAAAAGAAAAGCCCAAGAAGGTCATTGGAGAGCCCTGTGTTACACCACACACATATTGAGATAAAAAATAAATTTGCCCAAAAAAGAACCATAAGAAAAAACAAACCCAAGAATGTCATTGGAGGAGCTTGTGTTGTGCCCCACAAATATTGAGATAATATATAAATTTTCCCAGGGTCAGCAAAATATCTTCCCTTTATGGAAAAAGTACTTAATGTTACTCTGTGTGGATTTTATCTGTTACAGTTGAGACATATTTACTGCATTAAAAGATTTATTGAGCTTTCGTGGAAAGAGAATAATGTTGTGGTTTTTGGTTTGGTTCCGTTTCAATCTAAAATGCTAGGCAAAATGGCAAAAGTTGTTTGGATGTGGTGTTCTTACTAAAGACTTTTTTTCCAAAGAACAGATTCTGATACTCCCTTAGCAGCATAATGAAGTATTTGCTGAAATGTGCCTGTGTTAGAAATTCAGAAGGGCCTAGAGAGATTGGAAGTATGGGAAGAACATGAAAAAAGATTTAAGCTCTGAAGAGCATGCCAAGGATCAAATTCAAGAAGTTCTCTGAAACCAGAATTTCCAGTGCAATCAATTAAGCTTGTATGTGCGGAGTGCACACAAAGTTGACCACCACTGCTGAAGTCTCTGTGGGGTAGTAGCACTGTTCAATGGAAAATGAATATTTGGAAGGCAGTCAAGTCAGAAAATGAAGCTGAAAAACCTGAGGAGTTAATGCAGAAAGAAAAAGATTGATGAGCTTTTCATGGATTGTGGTAGCAAAGATGGCACAGTATATGTTCAGGCCTGTCACATCAAGCACAGGAAGAAAACTATCCTGTGTCTCAAAATGCTTATTGCTGTGCAGAAAGAGCTAGGCAAAGCTAAAGGAACAAGAAAATAAGATGTTTAAAATCACGTACAACTGATGTAATGCACATGTAGCAGTAAGGGGATGGAATGGAGCAAAGAAAAATTTAGGGTTTGTATCAGGAAGCATTTCCTAGCAGCAAAAAGCAGTTCAGTATGGCAAGTCTCTCATCAGTGTTAGCATGAACTTCATTATTGAGCCACCAGTAAATATGTTTATTCTCTCTCACAAGTTTTTTGAAAACTGCAGTAGTATTTTAAGCTGTACCAGCAGCCTCCATCAACCTAGTTTTCTGTGCACTGGCAGTGAAAAAGTAAATTGCAGAAACTACTGGCGTTACTGTACTTTGCTATTTCATCTATATAGGAAATGATTTTTCTCTCTTTGATGCTCAGAGAAAAAATCTGGGAACATCTCTTTTCTGGCTGCTCATTTTATATATATGCCTGGGCAAGCCAAATACTTTCAAGTCAGAGCCAAGCTAGAGCCAAGCCTAGGGTCTGATTTGGCTCTAGGAAACAAAACCAAAGCTATATTACTGAAGCACATTGTAAACTTTATGAATAATGAAGTACAGAGAAAAAAATTTCAGAGACCAAGCCCAGACGGGGCAAAGACAAAGTACTTAATGCAGTACGTTTGTTTTGTATTACTGTAGACATGTGTATTTTCTTTTTTAACCATTCACAATGTTCCAAACGTTCACCACAATTTAATTAAGCATAAATTTAGTAAGTTTGTAGCTGTACAGGAGTCCTAGGAGGTACTTTGAGCCACAAACAACTGCATAACTCTAAGCCTGTAAGAGCTGCTAGTGACTGCACTGGAATTACTCTGTGCTTAAAACAAATCACACACAGAAATATTTTACTAAACGCAAACATAGTAGCCATAATTCAACAGAGCTTGCTTAGGGGGAGCATTTAAGGTATGTTTGCCTGCCTTAAATTGTGCTTCTCCTTTTTTTTCAACGGCAGCTCTTGAAAAATATTGCAAAAAATGTGTTTCATGACACAACCTTTACCTAAAGTTAACTGATCTCAGTGGTTGCAGCCTGGCCTGATGGCTATAAGCAAATACAAGTCTAGTTCAATGACGAGCATTCATGCAAAAGTAGACCTCACCACTTTGGAGAAGAGAGGATAATTTTATGCTCCAAAGCATTTTCTTCCGAGCTATACCCTGCCCTTGTCTTCTACCAGCTGAACTTTAGTAGGCATTAGTATATGGAGCTATTCCTGATGACCATAAAGGAACAGTCGTAAAGGATGGCACTTAACCCTGTTCGCCCACATTATGTAGCATTTATTCATGTTTAAGATATAACCATGAGGGATTCAGCAGTAACATTTTGCCATCAGGTGTTCAGCCCCGGGCTGGCTCTCTTCCAGTGAATAATGATAGAACAAGAACAGGCCAAGCTGGAGAACGATGGAAGATTCCACAGCCAGTGCCTGCTGGGGAAGTGCTAGGAGCATATGAGATTTCCAACTTCTATATTTAGCTCCAAAGTATCTCCGTAGAATGATGAAATCATACCATACGCCCAGTTAAGACCTCCTTTACTACATGATAGATGCTTATCTTCTGTCTTGAAAATAAAGATTATAGAATTGCATGAGAAACATGATCTCTACAAAAACATTCTTAAGCACATTAATTGCAATTGCATACACAAACTGAGTAATTTTCTTCAGAAGTAAGTAGCTGGACACCTAATTAGTACTTGTGAACATACACTTACCATTTTCATAATCATTTCAAGTACCTGCATGTGATGGCTATACATCCAAGTGTGCTTTTTCAGGGCACTCTTTAGTGCCAATTACAAGACCGGTTTTAAAAGAATGCAGCCCACAGTTCTGTAGATACGGAACAGAATAAGATAAAATACCTTCTTGCTAATATAACAGTGTCTGTATTTACTTTGCAGTCTGGCTCTTGATGTTGCAAAGTATTCATTTTGTCCAAAGACAAAACCTTTTAATTATTTTCCTCTAAGCCAATAAAAAATTAGAAGATCCACACTGAGCAGGATCTAAATCAACAGTGTCAATAAAAGGGCTCCAGTTCTCTCTCTTCTGATGTCACAAGCACTTACATAGCAGCTAGAGGATGGCAAAATTTTAATCAATTTCCATACCTCTTAACTGAAGCATAGATGACAGTAAGAAAACTTTAAGATGATTTTCCTTCGCTTGTACTTCATGGTCTTTTGTTAGCAGATTTTAGTTAACCTATTTGTCTGCTTATAAATACATGCTTCATTTGTTGTTTATTTGCTTTTGTCGCAGGTTTATTTATATTTGTATTCCATTGTGCTATGAAAGAAAACGTACAGAAACAATGGAGAAGACATCTCTGTTGTGGCAGATTCCGGCTGGCAGACAATTCAGGTAAAAGCAATTCACAGCTCCCCTCCTTAGATGCTGCAGTAGTCCGTAAAAGTCCAGGTGAACAGCTTGCCAAGTTATTTTTAATATACTATGTAAGCCAGAGATATGGAAAAATAAATTAATCATAGGCTGTCACTTCAGTACTAACAAATGCCAAGGGACTTTTCAGATATCACTCCATAAAAATTCTCAAATCTTCTCTTTCAGTTTTCCACTGAAAGCTGGTAAATTTTGTGGGGCTATAAGCAAGGTTTTGGAAGGCCATTTGGACCCTGCAAACTAAAAAAAATTAAATAAAGGTCCAGAGATTCAAACGTGTGTTGACTGAATTGTGTGAACTATTAGGTTGATGTAGGAGCAATTTGTTAAAAGACAGATAGAAATACTCTGAGGTCTTTTGCTTTTATCTTTGCCTTTTCAGACTGTTCTGTCCTTCACTATATAATTCAGAGAGATCATTAGAGACTCCAAAATGTAGAAGATTCCTTTAGCAGATAGAACCTGATTAGGTTCCAGAATTGAAGTTCATCTTTGTCTGTGAATCTCAGAGAGAAAGGAGAGCAGTTGGTTTGGACACTTCGAAGTGCAACACTTGGGACACTGTGCTTATAGTCTCCTGCACGTTTGGCCATCTCGGATGGCATTAGACTCCTGTGTTTAGATGACTGGATCTTGCTTTGTTGTCTGATGTAATGTTTTTGGACCATATAATTCTTGCTCATATGGTTCTTGCTCAGTGACGAGGGTTGAAATCGAGAGTTGATGTAGGGTGGCACAAGCTCATTGCCTAGTAAGGTAAGCTAGCCTAGCCCAGATAATAACAGCACCCCAAATACCCTTGTGTCCTTTCTCTCTTGGCATCCAAGGTTTGTTTCAAGATTATAAGTAACTGCTTTGCCACCAAGACTTTTGCTTTGTTTTGCTCTGGTTTTTTTAGGAAATACATTCTCATTGCACACTATAAAACATTTATGCTTTCACTTTGTAGTAAGAAAACCTGATTCGTGATTTCAGAGAGTTAATACAAATTAGGAAAAGCATATTCATTCAGATCAGACATCCAGATTGTTTCATATGTTCAGTTTCCATGTGGTTCCCGCTGTAACTCCTGAACTGGCAAACACAGGTGGATGAATTATTTCCAGATTTTTATGCTGCTGGTGGGCAGCTTCTGGGTATAACAGAAATAAAAACCTGAAGGATAGGAGTACTTCAGTGGCACAGTTAATGTGCTGTCATTATGCCTAGCATTAACCAGTCCATCACCACCGTCTGGTTTTATTCTCCATGAACCTGACACAGTTTGCAGGCAGAAAAGTGAAATATAAGCCAAATGTGAACTTGCATACCTGTCCAATTGAAATGTACTTTAGGGCATGCTACAATTAAGCGAAGAAGCAAACAAGCCAAAGCCTTGCAACACTGCCATAGCTAGATCAGAGAAATAGTAACCTATACCCTATAGCAATGACTTGGTATAAAATATTTGTCTTGATTTAAGGCAAAAGTGGCCCGTGTGTCTTTGGTTTGGACTTCTCTTCCATTTTGTGAATTTCCTTGCAATACAGTGAATAACAGTATCAAGACTAAAGTGTGAAACTATCTGTACTGACCTGCAAGTATATGATACAAAAGTAGTTAGATACATTTATTCTACTGGTATTGGGACACTTGTGATGAGTTTTTTAGTGAGAATGTTCCTCAGTAATTTTATTGGTGTTAGTCATTTAATTTAATTTTGAAAGTTGTTCCAGTATAAGAGCCTATTGTGTTAATAGTTCAGACAAAACTCGTCAGATGTAAATTACTGAATAACCATTATTATTAATTAATATTGCACCAATATGATAAACCCTGTAACCCTATAAGTGCAAATCCACTAATATGTAGTATCTACCTCAGCAGATCAAGCTGTGAAATGATAAGACCTCTGTAAATGCTCCTATCCGTCCCTTTACTATCTCTCTGGATTTCTCTGTTCAGGTGGTAAAACTCTGGCGTCCTTATACTGCTACAGATCTTCATTGCTCTCCTGCATCCTGGAAAGCCAGATCTTACAGTTCTGCCATCCAGCCAAATTATCATTAGAGAGTTAGAGCCACCAATTTTAACTGCTGTGGTAAACAGCAAAGTAAATCAAGTTGGACTAATTCTTGTATTTCTTAAGAACCAAAGAGGCTACCTGACAGGAAAAGGATAGGCCGTTTGTTATAAACAACATGAAGAAGTGTATCTAATGCTTGAAATGTTCATAACTGAGTAAATTTACTACCTATGGTAATTTATGTAAAATTTTTCAATCATTTTTAGATTGGAGCAAAACAGCAACCAATATTATAAAGAAGAGTTCTGATAATCTTGGGAAATCCCTGTCCTCTAGTTCCATCGGCTCCAATTCAACCTACTTAACGTCCAAATCAAAATCTACAACGAATACATATTGCAAACGAAACAGCCATACGGGTGAGTTCTTGCACTGTAACACAGTACATCTGTAAATAAGTAGTTTTGTGTTAAAGGTACAATAGGGTTTTCTTCCCAAAGGTTAATGTGAGAAAATTTCACCAATTTATATAGTTTCAGCTTTTTTAAAATATATGTTACGGTTTAATAAGAATCTTAACCAAACATACAGTACATCCAGTATATAATTCTGATCTGGGTATATTCCCATACTAAACAAAGTAGGTGTGAAGAAAGCAAACCTTACTTTTTTATAGCGTTTTCACCTCTTTGGCTAGAAGAAGGTAAGTCTTTTTATCCCATTGTAAACACAGAGTAACCAAAGCACAGGGAGATGATGTTCAGTGTCCAAGGTAACATGAAAGTTAGCAGCACAGCTGGAAATAAGGATCAAGTCTTCTGAACCCAAGTCCACAGTTGATTCACTTGGTCAAACTGCTTCCATTTAATTGTAGCACATTTATGGATAGAGAGGCAAATGGAGGCTACTTGGAAATTGATACTGTGTTCCCGGAGTATGCATTGTCTTTCCCTTCTACAAATAACATAACACATCTACTGCTTATTTATTTAGATGTCATTGGTGTATGTAATAAAAGGCATCATCTGTATTGCACTCATGCCATAAAAATGTGCTCATTATAAGAGCATTTTAAAGGAGCAAAAAAAGAGAGGAGCTGAAATGATTTGCAAATCTGTTTGCAGATGTGTGAGATAATATTTCAGAAAATCACTTCAGATTTTTTTGTTACTACGTTTTTGTGAATTTATGTTTTGTCTTGTGTAAAGTCACATAACATTATCACAGAATGCTTTTCTAAAACATGATGGAAATAAAATCTGCCCACATATTTAACCCAAAGATGTGTTTACTTGCTTTAAAGTGTGTTGCAAGCAATGTTTAGATAAGAAATACATGATTTTACTGGAAGGAAAGTTATGTTGTTTCTTAAGTATAAATTATTTTCAGAGGTCCTCAATGTCTCATTTATGATGATACAGTTTCCTGTCTTGATATGTGGCATAGTTTCCAGGAAAAACCTTATTTTTTTATTGATGATCATTACCTGGTTCAGTTAGGTACACAACTTCTGTCTAGAAATCCCCTTTTTTAAGAACTACATTGCTGTTTTCTCACTTCACAATATTCAATGCATCCATTAGCATGAGGAGCTGTGCATCAGGTATTTTAGGAGTGTAAATTTTTTTTTGGTTATCGAGAATGTACATGAAGTACACTTGCTTTGAATACAGTAAAAACAAGCTGTATCTTAGAAATTCCCCGGAGTTTGCTCACAGGACTGCCATTCGCAGCTGCGCTGGGAGGACACGGCTGGCACCCGCCTCACCGGGGTGCCACCCACCCAGCTGCCCTGATCAAGCTGTCTTCAGCTCACTCTCCTATGAAGGGACACTTCTGTCAGCAGTCTTGCATGAACAACGTTTATAATATCCACCGACCGCAGTGCTACGATTAATTTAGTAGTAAAGGAGGAGAGCATTGCGCCCTTCCCGCTGCAGAACATTCTCTGTTCTGCAGACAGAGAATTCCATTTGTACTCGTGGCAGATCAACCTTCAGACCCTTGGGATCTGGATTAGTGATAAAAATATGCTTAAAATTTTTGTTGAACTCAGGGCTTTTCGTGACTCTGACAATTAAAGAGACTTAGAGCTGGAGTTTTTGTAATGCGTGGTTGAAACACAACAATAAAACAGTTCCAGATAGGAAGAAGTAAGTTCACAGAAACTTGAAGTTAGGAACAAGCTCATGTACTTTCTTCAAATTGGTGAGCTTAATCCCATGCATAAATTTTTTCCTAAAAAGGCCTGCAGTTAGTAATGTAATCATAGTTTGTAATGTGACAGTTTATTGGACATTAAGGGACTACCACATTTTTCTGACACATTTTGCTCTGACCTCTGAAAACACACGTTTTATTGTGATACTCCAAAGGATTTTTTGCTAATCTTAGGTTTTAAAATACTGACATATCGTCTCATGTATTAAAAAAATAGAAAATAACATTAAGATTCCGATTTTTAATGCAGCTACACTTCTCAGTTTGATGTCTTAGCTGAATTGCAGGCAAATAATGTAACAGCTATACGTTTTGGCAACTCTTGTTAATATGGTTCTAACGTGCTCCCTGGAATTGACACAAGCATTCGTGTGTTTGTGGTATAGATAATGTCTTCTAAGGCCCTTTCCTCATCAGTGGTGGAGCATTACAGGTAAAGTGAGAATTGCTTTTGCTGAATGCATGGTTTGAACAGGGTGGAGGGATGCCACTTGCATGATGTCCTCACTGACGCAAAGGGCTTTGCTAATCAGAAGCACTGCTTGTTTCTCACTGTTACATCTTGCGCCATTGATGCAGAATCAAAGGGTAAGCGTGCTTCAGGCTCTGGGCATCTGCACTCTGCATGGGGCATGAAGCATTGGAAAGATGCCATGTTAGAAAACAGACCATGTCCTCACATTAATGCCTGTGTACAGTAGTCTGGGGCAATTAGATTAAGTTGAAACACCTATACACAAAGCGTATATTAAAAAGCAAAAACAATCTGATCAATTCCTAGAAATTTTTTTAGTATTTTTGAAAGTTATTACAGGAATTTTAAGATATTGTATTTCTGTTTGGTCTATGGCCACTATGGAATTAGTCTTCTAGCCCTTGATTTTTCATATCCAGTCACACCCAAAATGACTCTGAATGACAAACTATATATGCCTGAAAGCTGTGCTGTGAACTGCTGGTTGGCTGCAGAACACACCGATTGGAAAATAAATATTGGGTGGGCCCTACTGTGTGGACAAAAGAAATCACTTCTCCATCTTGTGGCCCTGCTGTCTACAAGTCTGAAATAATCTTGTAGATAGCACTTAAATACCATATATAGCACTTATATGAATTAGAAGTTAAGATTATTTCTGCAGAGAATTGGGTGGTACAACTCCCATTTACTTCAGTGATAGAGGATTTTAACCCTGTACTTAGGTGTGAAGCCCACTAAGCTAAACAAAAAAGAGGGCACTGCTGGTTTCAGAGGCCTTGCATAATTCCTGTGCATGCACATTTCATGAGGAAATAGCTGCCATTTAACGATGTAATGATGCCTTGTGAAAAAAAATGTATATATTTGTAAGGAATTTCAAAAACTTTCCCTAAAGACTGAGAATTAACTTTTTGTCTTTGCAATAAGGTATTCAATATGTAGAAAAACTTCAGAATGTAGTACCATTGGCTAGTGAATGCATACATTTGAAAGGCACACAGTACTCAGCAGTTTGCTGTTGGACATGGAGTTATTTGCTGTAATTCATAGACATTCTTGCGTGCTTTGAAAAAGTCATCCTGATATGCCTGAACATGCCTGTTTCTCTTTTCATGAGTGAAACTGTTTTGATTTCTCACTCTGTAATCCATTTCTTCTTTGCAACATTTTATACTCTTTTATGCCTTGATATCAGGACTTCTGCAGGGGCGGGTTACTTTTCTGTTTATTTTTAGTTATTTTATTTCTATATGAAAAAAGTTTTGTATGAAATCATAGTTTAAGTAATATGCTAAATTCTTAAACGATCCTTTACCAAGGAATTTTTGAAGGTGATTTCACCAAGGTCTTGTAAACAGCCATCAAAAACTTCACTTGTAGAAAACATTGCTTCGCAGGATACTCCATCTTACTGTTGGCTAGCGATGGTCCAAACCTTGCCTAGGTTAAGAGAATTAGTTCCAGCTTTATTCACTACAGTGGAAGACATAAGAAATCTCATTAGGACAATGTACTTGAGAAAATGAGATACAGGCTCTCTCCTTCTCATTGCTCATTACATGAGCTCTACCTGCTGACCATTCTCCAAACAGCAACGCTGAAGCAGACTTTCCCAGCACGGCTGAGAATTGCTTTGCTCCTTTTTCTCTTAAGCTCCACCCATGATTTATAGCACATGAACTCTGAAAGGATGCCAGTTTTCTGCATCTTTTCCTCCCCACGGTTGTTCAGTCCGTACCCTCTACAATATGGAAAAAAGAAAGTGATGCTAGGCAAGCACAAAGTTTAGGCCAGTTTCAGCTCTTGTTATCTGCTTGAAGATGCAAGTCATCTTCTGCTAAATCTCTGCACAAAGTACATTATTTCCATCCGTAGCCTAAGACCTCCACTGTTAAAATAATTGCATCCATTTACTGTCATTTTCCACTACTTCATTATATGGAGATGTTGTTTACCGGGTGTTATGGAGGTCACCCCTATTCCAGTGCTATCAAAATGTTTTTAGTTTGTAAGATTCAAAGCATCAGCAGTAAATTAGTATATTAAAAGGTCGTAGGAGTCAGTTACACTTTAGGCAAAGGAACAGGGGCATAATTTCATGAGAAATTATCAAGACGCCCACAATAATTTCAAGATGTCCACAACACCAGGCATCTCAAAAGAATTTACAAGAAGCAATGCCAAGCCAAAAGGTTGTTTGCTGGCTTTTAGGGCAGTAATTTCATTCATCAGTAGTGGCCATTGAAGGCATATCTGTGTGGGAGTGACACACCTCTTAAACTACGAGTTTGCTTAAGAAGGCCTAACTTCTTGTTGTTTCTTCATCTTTCTAGAGAATGTTTTTCTTGACAAGCCATCTTCAAAATTTTCCCAAGAGGATGGAGAACAGACATCAATCATCCCTGTCCACCAGGTTATTGACAAAGTCAAGGGATACTGCAATCCTCACTCCGACAACTTCTATAAAAATATCATCATGTCTGACACATTTAGTCACAGCACAAAATTCTGAGTGGGCTTCTGAATTTTGTAAACCAAAGGAAGACAAAAATTCTGCCTGGAATTGAGAATACTGGATGTCATAGAATGTGACCTGTTTAGGGTTTTTTTCCCAGTTTATAATGTTCTTCTGTTAACAGCTTCCACTCAAGGACCAATTTCTCTACCTTTTTACTGTTGTGGAAAAAGACAAATTTCCACCATGGTATTGAGCTGTTCTTAAATGTGTGTCAGCCACCATGATGACTGGACAGCTAATTGTAATCCTGTGTAAATATTTCTTAAGACTGAAGAGCCACAAGCCTAACTCTAAATTATGTAGTCCAAACAGAAGAAACTCTTGACTCCTGGAGAAAACAGCAGACGTGTCATGCAGTATAGGCAAGTTCTTATTGAACAGTTTACTGGTGGTCTTTTTCTCTTGAAAAATACGGATTTTCCCTATGACACTTGTTACATTCTTGCTTCTTGACTGTCTAGTGCTGTGTGTTTTTTATTTGTAAGTGAATAAAACCCTAACGCTAGTGTTAAAGGGTTATTTTAAACCATTTTTTACTAAATAGACCTTATCATGCAAATCTTGCTTACCAAAACAGTATGTGCTGTAAATTCAGGCTATTTTGTATCCTTGTATGTAGAAACACACTTATTACATAGATCTGCTGCCCGAGAAGGGTGTGCAGGTCGCTAGTAACTCTTGCAAATTTTAAGCCCATTTCTGTGTATGGAAACAGACAGTTGTGGGTATCATTGGCATATCCGCAGAACAAGTACACAGGTAAATCTGAAGTTTACCCAAAGCCACATTTCAGCATTTATTGATTGGTATGTACGAAATGCAGCATCTCCCACCGCAATTCTATGTTTAATGTTCTTTTTCGCTAAACAAAATAGACGACATTCCACTACAGATAGATATATGAATAGATAGCTAGATGTCTCTCCACATGTATTTTTATAGCAATGCACACAGTAAATATGACAGAGGAAACCACAATGTGTACCACAGACAATCTAAGAACTACAAATGGTGCTAAAACTTAAGTATTTAAATACAAGATGAATACTTTGTAAACCCATGAGTTTGTTTGTCAGTCTCAGTAGTTCAGATATACTGTATGTATAGACACCTCCATCAGATGGCATTGCAACATTAGAATAAGCTGGAATGCATTTGCCAGTAATAAATAAACAACATCTTTCCGGGCACAAAACGTTATCAGTATCCCTCTCCTGCTCCCTTGTTTGTTGACTTGACTGAGGTTGTTGGAAGCATAGAGTTTAAACAGTGTTCAGGCAACATTAGGGAATTTCACATCATTATACTCTGTGCATAACAACACTGAGTTGTGTGTGTGCAGAGCACAGACAAGAGCATAAAATGCTTACTTGTTTTAATCTCTATAAATGTGTGATACATTACCATGGGGGCATGACTGCCAAAAGTGCATCTCCTCACAAAGCATGTCTTGCCCCATGACAGGTTTTAAAAAATTGTAGCTGTGCATGACGCTGAAGGCATGGGCCAAAACATCAAAGGTATTTTCAAATACTGTCTTCAGAGGAGAATGTCTCCTAATGGAAATTTTTGTTTTTAAAAAAGGCACTTTTTCTCTAAACAAAATATTTTTAGCCAAGTATTTGATTAATTGTATTCAGAAGGTGTCCAGAAAATTGTGCTGAGATTTTTCAGTTGCCAAGCAGGTGGATGTTCAGTGATTAGGGAAGTGGATTTGTGCCTTTCTTTGCTCTTTGCACGTGCTTTTGCGTGCAGAGATCGTTTAATGCTGTGACCGCACAAATGGCATATTTTCCCTGGCTGCAAACACCTGGTGGGAGGAGGAGGATGTCCTGATCTTATTCTGTCCAGAAACACTGCTGTCGTTACACGGACCTTAACGAAACCTCAGTCTCATAACTGCAGATACTTGCAATACATGGTGGTATGAATGAAAGTCAACCCAATTCACTTAAAATGTAATTATTAACAGGGATGAGTGTTGTCAGAGATCTTTAGTAAGGGAAATATTTTAGGGAGAGATTATGTACAAGCATTTACTGAACTTACATTTTATCATCCCACTTGCTTAACTACTGTAGATAATAGCATTCACATAGCAGCTTACTGTGAGATTTCTACCTGATTAAGGTGATCAGAAGTGAAGGAAAACCAAACATTCCTGAAAAAATGAGGAATCAGTAATACACGATAGATCAGTAAAATATAAATAAAAAGCAAACACAGTATCCTAACTGAAGCTGAGCTGTAATCTAACTATCAATTTAATGTACAGCTACCTATATTTTTAGTGAATTAAGATTTTTTTCTCTTTTTTACTACCATGTAGTAATCTTAAACTGTTTTGTGTCAGATCTCTTGAATGCTCTCAGTTCTACAATGTAAAGCTTCTACTTTGTAGTTGACATGCTGTAACCTCCCTTGTATATATTTATTTATTTGTGAGGTTAAATATGTCAAATATATTTAGCTCTATAATGACTGTTCTTGTTACTTTAAAACTAAGCTTCTGCTTCATCATAAAAGAAGAGGGAAAGAATGATTTCTTATATATGTTTTTTCCAAACACTTTGTGAAACAATTTACTGTAGTTCTATCTTTTACAAGTATGAGGAAACATGTCAGTGTAATTTGTAATACTAGTCAGTGGAATACAGTGTAACAGGTTTGAAGATGGACTGAAGTGGAAAGAAACCTTTTCAAGTAAACATTCCTGATGTTAGTGTTCCAAATAATTAAAGTCTTTTAATAGTGAATGGTTGATATTTTTTTTTTTCGTTTTTAGTGTTTAATGGCAAAAAACTACTCAGTGGAATTCTGGAAAATAATCTTGTGTTTATTAAGTATGTGCGACAGGTACATGCCTAGCCAAAATGTTGGAAATAAATACGCAAGACTAACTCCATCTCATCAGAGGAACGCATTTTGCGGAATATACTTTTCCGTTTTGTGATGTACTCAATGCCACATCCAGTGAATGATCTGAAAGTTATGCAAGTTCATTTATTTATGGTAGCAGTCATGTCATAGAAATGAAAAGAAAATAAGGCAACAGACAATAAGCTGGGATGATCTTTTAGAAGTAATACAAATGAATAATCTAAAACTCATGAGTTATTTCTATTCATGTTTCTTTCCAGCTGAATGTAGTCCCTCATTTCAATAACTTGATTCAACTTGTAATCGTACTTTGACTGATCACTGTTGAAATATTTTAGTCAGCCAATCACTTCATTAATACACACTGATGTGTAAACATTAAATGTAACACACTAATGTCCCACCTTTGAATGTTTACCTTTAAAGAACACGGAAACTGCTGTAATGTGTCAGATCTCCTCCCTGCATTTACATCTCATCAGAGAAAATGTACAGAATACAAAGATTTAGCAGTAATATTTTTAGAAAGTGATCAAAAAAACCCCATGTGATAAGTGGCATTTATTAATGAGGATGCTGGGTGTGCCTGTGGACAGTGAACACTACCCTTGAGCTTCATGCCTTGAACAGCGTGGGAGGACCCTCTGAGGGAAGGAGCCCAGGGTTTTTTTCCAAGTAGGATCTTGGCAGATGCCAAACTTGTAAGGAGTGATTTGCAGTGTTTGGGGGTGGATTTATTTTTCTCTTCATTTCATCACTTTTTAAATATCAAGAACAATTTTATTTTAATCCTCTACTCTTAACAGCTTCCTACTGTAACCCATTGAGTTACATAAAATGCCACTTCATTTTAGTACTTTTGAAAGGCTGATCTATAATCAGACACATCTATGTAACTGCAGGGACAGCTACTGTGTTACAGGGCAGCAGTGTGTCATTCATGGAGCCATTAGAAAAAGTTGTTACGCATTTAATATATATTTAAAGACATAAAACCATATATGGGTCAGCAAATTAGGCAAAGGGCTTAGAAGTTAATGTCAGGGAAACCAATCATGCAGACCAGTCTGTGGAGCAGCCATTTCATACCCAGTGTTCCAGCTGCTGCTATGCTGAGGAGGCTTTCTCCTTCACCCTCTGCTTGGCTGGTCTTTGGTTACTCAGTCCATTTAATTTTCAGAACTCCTGTCCCCATTGTGGCACTCCCATCCTCAGGACGATCATTTTCTACAATGCTAGGGAAAGGGAAGGGGAAAAAGAGAGAAGAGAAAAGGAAACTGAAAGGGAAAGAAGGGCAAGAGTAGCTGTCAAGGCCTGCTATGCATCTTCTTATATTTTCCACATGATTTCTTGCTCCTTCCCCAGGATGTGTCACCCTGACCAGTGATGGAGGCAGGCCATTGCAGTGGGTTGAACACACCACCTTGGCTATTTGTGCACCTGTCAACCAAAGCTAATATTTTTGAACCTCCAGCTTTAAGCTGAAGATCTGCCATGGTTCTTCAAGGCAGCAACTCCAGTATTTCTATGCTTGGAGACTAACCTAGCAATACTGTCTTGGTAGTTCAGGGAGAACATAATGCCCCTCATGATGAGAAATCAGTATGATAAAGTTCAGGCACCACACCAGAATAAACCTAAATAAACCTTATGGAAACTTATTCTGGAAAGATAACTCTTCCTCAGATACCTCTGCTCGCTCAAATACTGCTGCCATTGGTTTTAGATGAAGCCCAGATTTAGTGCTCATGAGGGGTGCACATCGCGGTGATGTCCATGCGGGTTGTATAACCACAACAATCTGACAGCAGTTCGAATGATGTGGTTTTCCTGAGGTGTGTTGAACAACCTACACTACAAAATAAATGCTGGCTTGAATCTTTAGCAAGTACTAGATAGCCTAAACTGGGCAGTTTTTACCCAGACTATTCTAGTAAGAGTTCTCAAAAAACATAGCTTTAGATAGAAAAGAGTTCTTAAAAATCCCGACTGAATTCCATATGTGAAGTGTAGGAGAAAGGGAGAGTTCTGGTAACTCTGGTCTGATGTTTCATTCTGCTGCCAAGTTTTTTTCCCATCCTGGGAGCCCACCGAAGCCGGGGAAGAAGAGGGCCCTGATAGGGGAGCGTATCCTGCTCTGCCCGAC